TTTGGATTTTAGTGGGACGACTCAAGGAGACTGTAGCTGTATCTCGAACGAATCTCTTATGTACAAGAGTGTAGAAAAAAAACGGAGTAACGCTCACTAAAGACACAAATCAATTGGCACAGCATCTCAAGAGATTTGGAACGGCTCAAATGGTTTCAAAATCTTGCAGGAAGGGCTTGAGCACAGTGCCAGTCCTGACGAAGAGAGCTTGACCTCAAGACAGACGCCTGACAGCAGCAAGAATGTGAGGTGAATGTGTGTGTGTGTGTGCGCGCGCGTAAGGACAGAAGCAATGTGTAAGCACTTCAAGTTCTCCATAGTTCTCCTATTTCTGCCGCTTCACTGTGTGGTCCCCGCCCCCCGTATATTTGATTGTTTAGAAGTTTGCAGCTGCTGGACAAACCAGTGTGGGCTTCAGAGCCTTCAAAGTTCAATAGAGAACGTGCACTGCTGGCAGGTCTAAATTTGGCCAGTATATTCAGAAAGTAGACCCCAAAGCCAGTCTTGACCAGGCCTGAACAACGTCAACATTGCTGCAACATGCTGCACATAAACTACAGTATAATATGGCGTGCATAATTTGCGTTTGTAACATGTTGTAACATCCATCAAAACACCTCTCGAATTCGGAACATGCCAAAAACTGCACCTTCTTGCCAGCTCAGTGCAGCGAAATACAGGCCAATCTTCACACTGAAATACTCAACCTTACACTTCACCTGACGAACTGACGAAGCAGCGTGGGTAGAGTTTGATGTTCACTAGTTAGTTTCCTTGTGCTTCGAGGCTTTTGCAGCTCTAGGCAATTGCCATATTGCCGGTCGTCCAAAGTGAGCCGTAGTGGCAAAGGAAATAGAGCAACAATGAGCAGCATCAGCTGAACAGACAAAAGCTGGACGATGCTTGCTGCTTGTATTTGCTTGTCGCATGTACTATCTACAGGCAGCAGACTTTCCAGAAAGCCGGTGTGAAAACTGCGCAGGTGATTTTCTCTCCCACCATCCTTCTGAAGGTCTTTGGAGAGATGGAGCCATTTGGAACAAATTTGACCTCTCTCTCTCTCTTTCTCTCTGTCTTTCTCAAGGTCTTTTTTGACATGTTGATCGTGACTGGTGCAGAAAGTGAGGTCCTTGCCAATGCTATCAATTCAGGCTGCAGCGATGATCACAGCAAGCTACATAGTACACTAGGAGTATGCCAACATGTCAGTTTGTGTAACCTCGAAATGGCATTGAGACAAATACCTGAGGTCACGATCATTGGCAATGCCGGTAGTCTAGCTGTCTCAACCTCAAGGACCCCCGAAGGACTCAGTTGCTTGATGTATGTTGTTTTTGCCTTGCGGCTTGAGATCTTGGACTTGACTTACTTGCTCCTTACTGCTAATCACTACTGAGCGTATCAAGAAATTGATCGATTCAACCAATTGACTCCTGTCCCTAGGATTTTTTAGGGGTTGGTCACACCTCTTTACCCCTTGCTGAGCAATAGATGGACGCAATGAGCAAGGTAGTTCCGCGGCTTGGTGCCAAAGCCCTGAACACCATGGGTCTTGCCTTCCTGGGCTTGTCTTGTCCATATCTCCAACCTAATAGCAATGGCCTCCAACCTAAGAGCGATGGCCTCCAACCTAACAGCGATGGCCTCGATCCTAATAGCTTGTCTTGTCCATCATATGCTTGATTCGTTTTGGAATTGTCAATGACTCAATCTCATTGACGAAGACAGGCACTGTGTGGATTAGCCTTCACGGCATTCGCCTCTGCAATTGCCTCAGAAGATTTGAGATTCTGTTGTGGAAGTCAAGCTAGAGCAGTACGGGTTGTGTAGGTATAGTCGTGTTGCGGTGTCAGTCAGGTCTATCGATACTGCCATGATTGGCATACCCTTCAGTTCTGCCTCTTGTGTGCGGTCAAGTGCTTTGTTTGCAAGATGCAGTGGTCTTGGAAATGGGCAATGAGCTGCAGCGTTGGCCCACCAAACGGAGCGGCTTGACAGTAATGCTGCAATGCTCATTGACAGTTTGGCGCTTTCACTGCCCAACATCGCCACCTTCATGCTGCCCGTCCTCCTTTTTCCTCGAAATGCCAACATCTCAGCGCGTTTCACTATATGCATGCCTCAACAACCCGGATTCAACGTGATGGTGAGCAACGTTGTCAGGTTAGATCCACCTTCCACGGTATTTCAGCTGCTGCTTGGGTCTTGACTTCCCACCAATGTCCAACCGACTATGGGACAGCTGAGGCTGCCAAAGTAGGAGCCATGGTGGGAACGATACTTTTCCCTGCGCCGGGCCCCAAGGATCCTTTTTGGCCAAAGACATGGAATGGACATGAATGGACTTGTTTTATTTTAGTTGTGCCTGTCATAGAAGGATCTTTTGACATTGCCATATTTAGACCTTGCTATCTGATTACGCCATATTACGCCGCCCGAAGTCTCGGGTACCTGTATGCCAACCTGTTTGTTTTGAGTCCAGGAGGCTGTGGCAGTGCACTTGTCTAGCACTTTTGATGTTGCGTATGATCATTTGACATGTGTAGAGTTTGTTCCTTAAACTTTTAGATGACGCACTTCCAGCCTAATAAAAAACAAGTTTGAAGATTGGTAACAATATCTTTCTTTCTAATGATTAAATATTCAAAAGATTCAAAATGTGGTTTTTAAGTGCCTTCACATCCAAAGAAGCACGCCATCCTTTATGGAACTTACACCTACATACGAGCATTCTGCCTTCTCCAAAACCAACCCTTATCATACAATGCTGTTATTCTTTCTACAAATCCCATGTTTGATGAGATTATGATTGTATAAATATGCAGATCACCTCACAGAACCTCCTCCTGTTCGAGGTCTCTCACTGTTGCACGCAGAATCGGTCGCGCTTTTGCATGGGGTCCATTTGTTCAGTTGTGCATGCGTGCAAGTCTGAGTAAAACAAAAGTGGATCACGTGCAAGCTCAACAGCCGTGAAAGTGTACCAGAAGCCTGTAGGTTTCAGACTAACCGGGACATCAACAGAGTTTACAGGCCTGCAAGCCATGGCAATCCTCAGATATCACAGAGAAATGTGTGTAGGCTGCCGGAAGCAAGCTTTGAAAGGTATCGGTTCTGCACAGATGTAAGCTGTGATTTTGTGGCCATCAACCAATCATGCTATTAGCCCCACCCCTCCCTCCCCCACACCACACCACCACCCACCCTGCACACACAAGTCGCAACGTATCAGACCTGTAATCCTTGACAAGTCCCACATCTCAGATAGAAGTAGTGTGTTCGCATGTGGCATGGGAGTGCGTGCGAAAGTGATGCTTGACGATGGACGAAGTGTTTTTGAAAGACGTGTGTGCGATCTGAGTTCGAGATGTGCGCGAAAGTGAGGCACCTCCGCTCCTCTACTACACTGCTACACAAGACTATGATTCTTATTTTACCATGCTCATGCTGGATAAGACCTTGCATATTATATATAAAGAATACATCGTAAGGACTCATGATATTCCCTATAACTCCACAGACGCAAGGGTGAAATCACGGTGAAAGAATCCAACGGGTTGATTTTGACACAGGTCGCCATGTTTTTAAGGCTTGAGGACTACGGCATTCCAGTGATCATGTTCACGCAGGTGCAGCACGGCTTGCCCTTTTCCGAAGATTCACATGCTCATATTTATGTGGATGACCAGGCAGTTCTTTGTGGGCTGGGCGCAGCTTGCAGCCATTGGTCAACACCTCGTTTGTGGGAGTGCTCCATGCATCAAACAGTGCAGCGAAACGGATTATACAGTTTATGAACCTAATAGCCTTCTTGCTCCTAGTAGCGATGCCAGGAGCCCCTAGTAGCGTCCTTGCTCCTAGTAGTAAGGCCAGGAGCCCTAGTAGCTAATAGCAATAGTTTATGCAGACTTGTTACATGTTGTTCGATTCACGAATGCAAGTGACATGATGGTGCAGCAAGGTTTTTGGACGAAAGCATCAGCGTCGATGTGCGGGCCAACGTTTTGCCGAATGAAGTAAGAGCGTACTGTAATTCAAACTGCCATTTTTTTTTCATTTCATGACTTGGCTGAAACAGCTGCAAGGCCGAGCCTCACAACGACCAGGTCGGAAAAAAGCAAAGAACTGTACAACTGGTACCAGCTTTACCTGCAAGCGCTTGCTGCTTTTTCAAGTCTAGGTCCAGCTCCAGTTAGTGCAGATGATTGGCACAGTCAGCCCCAATGCCCGATCAGAGGCCGAACATGCCAAGGATTTTTAGTTTGCTTCTCTCGGTTTTGGAAGGACTCCGTGGAGTCCGACAAGAACATGCAGGTGGCCAAAGTGGAGGAAGAAAAGAATAGTCTCAGAACAACCTTCGGAATGACCTGGAATCCCCAGAGTCAAGAAGCAGAGCTTGCGAGCTGCAGCTCTTCACCACAAAATGTTACCGCTCACCCTGCGAAGAAAAGCGTTGACATCAGCAGTGCAGGCCCAGCTGTGCTCGACTGAATCCTGAAAGAAGATGTTCTCCGGAGGCTAGAAGATAGCATAAGCTGGTAGATTGTTTATTCAATAGATTGTTTATTCAATGAACCACCAGCGTCCTTAGATTCAGATTCTGCCTCAGCTTTGTTCGTGGGTTGTTTCAAGCTGCTGCTCTTTGGCCGTGCCTGACAGGCTAGAATTTAGATGAATTTAGGTGCGTCCAACCCAGCAAGAAGATTCCCGTAGCTGTCGTGCATTCATTTAATGGTTGGAAGTCAAGCAACACCAAATGACAGCAAGGAGAAAGTTGCTCTCAGATTTCCGATGCTGGCAGCTTCTTTGGGCATAACCGGGTCAACCATGCTGCGACAAGAAAACAAACACCTCCACTCACGTGCAGACAAAGAGGAATTTTGCTGGCTTGCTGAAACCCTACTGAAGCTTCAAGCATCCTGAAGCTACGTGTGCCACGATCTCAGACGTTTGGAGCAAAAACGGATGTTTGGAGCCATTCAAGTTTCGAGCTGAGGGCCATGTGGCCGCTTCACAGGGCTTGTAGGTGGGGCAATGTCACTTTGCACACTTTTCAGTCATGCCATGCAAACTATCCAAGCCGGCCAGTTAACACGCCAGGCTGAGGCCGAGGCGGTCACTTCGAGGCCTCTCTTTGGCCTTGGTTTTTGCAGTTGCGCTTTGTGTCCAGGGCTCAGCAGGGGTTAGTTCATTTAGCACACTCATTGGCCCAGTGGCCAGAGCCACTGCAAGTTGTGCAAAAGGCCTCAGACAATCAAAGGAGAACCTTTATGCCGCGGCCAAAGAAATTCATTGGCAAGCATTGCTGACAAGAAGGGACTCAATTAAAGCTGTGCCCAGTCCCATGAGAGCTCTACCGGTACCAGGCAGCTTGGAGGAGTGTGATGGGGTACACATCAGTGTGGAATTGGATCAATCGATTCTAAATGAACAGCAAACTATTCTAAGCAACATGTTCCTTGCATGGTTTGTCAGTTTGCAGCTGTTTCGTTTTGAGCCCTCACATCACAGGTCGGTCAATTTTGCCAGCATTTGGAGCCCTGCATTGGTGGTCTCAGGTCAGCTGACCCACATTTCTGGGACGTCGATGCTCAGTGGAATTGTGTGCTATTGGAAGTGCTGGAGTCAAAATGCCCGTTCCGTTAGCTTTCCACTTCCCGAGTCGTTCACTTTTACTCCAGCAGCAAAGCACCATGGAGGCCGCAGCATGGGCAGAGGAGCAAGGCTTACCCAAAAAGAGCTGGATACTCAGAAGCAGAAGCTTGTGCTTTCATTTGAGGTACAGTAAAATTGTGCTTAAAGGCAGGAACTCAAGGAAGTTCCTTGATTTGTGGAAGTATTCTCAATGTAAAGCAAGATGCAACAACCTAGTTTGTGACTTGTTCTCTGTATGTGTGTGTGTATATGTGAACAATATACATCGCTAAACGAGAACCCTGCATGTAAGTAACTTGACCCTGTCTCATCTACTTCATGCATGCACGTTTTCCGGTCAAGTCAAATCAGAAGGTCTGTACGCAACAGCAGAAGAAGCTAAGGCCGGAACGAAGTTGTTTAGTTGGCATAAGTCAAGAGGAATTGTGCAGACACAGTCCTCCTTGATTTCAACAAGTTCGCTGCAGGCAGCTGCAGAAAAGCTGAAAGCTGCTGGTGTCCAGGCGAACTTGCTTGAGGAACCTATAGATATTCGACCTCCTGCGCCGCGCTGAAAGCATTGGCCAACTCAGACGCTGAATGCGAAATCGCGATTGCTATTTTGGGTGATGCAGCAAGGTCGTTCCAAAGGATGCAGAGCCCTCCGCAATGGTGCGGGATTTGGTAAAGGAGGCAGTTTGCATTTATCAACGAGTTGAATGTGCTCATGTTTGTTGTTCGGCAGGCTCTAGACGCCATTTTCCAAGGGGACATAGGCTCATTGAGTGCAGTGCTGTTTGCATGTTCTGTGGGCAGAGGAACACTATCTATGGTTCTGACAGCTTGTGGTTGGTGCCTTTTTGTTCAAGGCTCAATGATTCCTTCCCAAGCGGAGTCATCTCCACACCCAAGTACTCCAATGGAGCCATGCATGGAGCCATGTGCATCATTTCAGAGCTCAGACAGCGGAGCCTCGTTCAACAGCGCCAAAGGGAAGGGAGAGAGTGACAGAGCTCAATCAAGCCCTTCCAAGCCCAAGAAGAAGTTCATCAAATCGTCGACTGCCACGCGAGATCTCGAGCGTGAGTCGGTCAAGCATAAAAAAGGAATTGGAGGACGGCTGATCAAGCTGCTGGCCAAGTGCTTGGAATCCACTTGCGTCGATCTTCTCTCTGGCGTGGTCCAAGACTTAGTATGGCCCAGCTTGTGTTCATCAACGGGATTCAATGGGCCTCAGCTAAAGGATTTGAGTTCAATGGCCCTCAGGTTGTTTTGACCGACATGGTTCTCACTTGCGTGGACATCGACTTGCGTGCTTCTGGAGCAACTGCTCCCACTTGGGCTTTCCTCACATGCCAAGGCCTTGGACAAGATGTCTGACGAATTCAATAACTACACACCACACGCAACAAGCAGTTTTACATGTTTTTACTATGTCTTAAAGGATTACGTTCCCCTTCCTACCCCTTTTCTTCTTGCTATGAGGAGGCTATTGTATTTGCCGACAAAAGCCACTCAATAGTTTTTTCTTGGCAGGGTGCTTGTGCTTCTACGTGTGGGAAGCAACTGCAGACTTCGCGCTGAAAGGGAAGCAAGTGTTTCGCTCTTTGGATTGGCTTCTGGACTTTGGAATCATCACAGCTTCATTGACGGAAGTGGTTTTCCTTATCTTGGGAAGTGCTGTAGAGGAGGTCCGCATTCTCAAGTTATTGAGGATATGTCGGGTGATGCGACTCATCCGCTTTATTCGCAAAGCTCCATCATTGCGAGAGCTACGGAAGCTGATGATGATGTTTGCAAGCGTTATAAGAACATTGGCCTGGTCGTTCCTGTTTTGCTTCATTGCCATGACTCTTTGGTCAATGGTTGCTGTCGAATTGTTGCATCCAATAGTTCAAGAACTTTCCGCTGAAGGAGTTTGGAGTGACTGCGAGGGCTGCAAAGAGTCTTTTGCTACCATCATGCAATCCAACTTGACATTCCTCAAAACAATGCTAGCTGGAGACAGCTGGGGAGAGGTTGCAGTGCCGGTGATGAGAAAGCAGCCGCTCACAATTATCGTTTTTGCTGGTGCGCTGGTCTTCATAGTATACGGGATACTGAATTTGATCGTCGCTGTGCCTTGCCTGCATGTGCTGAAGATGTCCCACTGTGGTTCTGTGTGATAATGTCATTCGATCAATATATAAGGTAATTGTCGATGCTGCCGTTGAGCAGCGAGAGAAGGACATAACCACGCTGGCAGCAGATTTGGACTACGAACTTGAAGAAGACCTGAAGCTTTTGGGTCGTGTCTTCAAACAGGTTGACCTCAACGAAGATGGTGAATTGAGTTTGGATGAGCTAGTTACAGGGGCAGAGAGTGTGCCGGAGTTTGCAAGCCGCCTTCGTGTCATGGATATTGATGCTGCAGAGTTGGAGCAGTTACTGGGCACGACACCAATGACATGTGGCATCCCATGTAACAACAAGTTTAGGTTTAGGTTGTGTGATATGTGCAGTCATGCTGAAGCATCTTCACAGCAGAGACTTGGCATTGTGGAAAATGTAGGATACTCTGAAAGCAATGTTGAAAATTCCAGCTTACTACTTGTTTCTCAGGGGGGTAAGGGCTTCAGCAATCCACAGTTGTGCAAGGCTTTTTCATATACTTGATGAAGATGGAGGTGGCTCGATCAGCAAGGATGAGTTCAAATTTGCAGCTTGACACTTCGGTGAGTTACTTTTATTTGCCGGTTCTGTTGTTTGGGCTCCTGGGTCAGCAGCAAGTGTGTGTATATATGTGCATCTGTGTGTGTGTTTTTACCTCGACAAAGGCATTGAGCCGCTGGATGCGAGAGAGCAAGACTGCAAGCCACTTTGTGAAGTACATGGTCAGCAATCTCTCAAACAATCAAAATCACTTGCACGAGCAGGTGAAACAAATTGTCAAGGCGGTTAGTGCCTTGCAAAGCGAGATTCGATGCCTCCAGGATGAGCCAGAAGGATCCCCATGCTTCGGCAGCGCCGTGGCCCAGCCATCCCAGCCTACCATCCCAGCCCAGTTTTCCTCTCAAAACAAAAGCATGTGTGGTGTTGCAAGATCACCAATTGCAGACAACCTGCTATCGTCACAGTTGCCAACACTTCTTCAGAGAATTGATGAGTCTAGCGCCAGTGATGCACCGCCAGCTCAGCCTGTTGCAGATCTAGGGAAAGATCGCATGTCCAAGCTGCTTCAGGAGTATGTCGTGTTGAGAAGCATGAAGCATTTGCCTTGCACAAGAACTACCAAACACATCCAACAGCGAATGCTAATTAACAACCTGAATCCACACGTGTTGATATTTGTTCTGCTCGTATGCAATGTTTTCAATCATATATTCACTAACAGGGCACTGACAAGTCACTCGATTGGATGTTCACTGGAAAGGATGTGGACCAGCTTCTCCTTAAGAAGCAGCGCCTGATTGCAGCTACGGACGCTGTAGATTGGCTATTAAGAACGAAGCTGGAAGAAGCATCAATAGGAATTCGGAACACATGCTCAGGATGCTCGGCTGCATTGGTCCTGTACTCAAAACCTCAACTAATGAGCAGGACCTCAACCCTTATTTGTTCCTTTCTATCACCCAGATCATGCTTGTTTCCCGGTGATGTAATAACATTTGTTTTTTTCAGCATCTCCTAGGCCAGTATGATGTGTCAGTTGACCCGGAGCATTCAGAGGCTTGATACTTGTCAATACAACCATGCACTTGGGTGGCTTTTTGTATCAAAATGAACGATATATCACAATTTTGCAGTTGGCGAGTTGCCTTCGAGCTTCTTTGGGGGTGCAAGAGAGCTTTTATACTTTAGCGCAGGCGAGATGCTGGCGATCGCTACAGATGATGCTTGGTGTTGAATTGGTTGCTATCGGAATTGAAGTTTCTAACGACCAAAAGATTCTTCGCATTCAAGAAGGTTCAGGTCAGCCCACACACAAGCCTGCGTTGCTGGATTGAAACAACTGCCAGGTCAGCCGCAGAGCTTGAACATCGGCGGTTCGATCGATTCATTTACCCCCTCTAGTGACGCCATCAATTTTCAGTGTTGCCATGCGCAAGACCTGTACTAGATAGTTTTGATGGATTGGTTTAATTGGACAGACCTGCATCAACAGTGGGAGAGACCCGGCGAATTGTACAGCATTGACAGTAGGTATTCTATGGTATGTTGCAAATTGCTGTATGCATGGTTTGTCCTTGCGCGAGACACTGCAGTCCTATGTATATAGTCCTTGCCCGGATTGCATGCCATATTATCTATATTTTACCAATGAGGACAGAACATGTCCACAACGGTCTTGGAAGCACTTCACAACATGAAGCTGCTTTGAATTTGCGTTTTCAGTCTGGAGGTATGTTCAACGACAGTGTTTGTATTCGGTTCGAAGGGTCAACATTCAATTGGCGGTTCCTAAGCTAGTTATCTTCAGTTCTGGCAAGGGGTGCGAAACTTTGGAAAAACAGGGTTCAAGGAAGGATAGTACCTTCATGACTAGTTGAGCTTGTTTCTTTGCTGCGAAGCAGCGAGACAGAGTTTGGTGACATGGTGGCCAAAATGGTGCTTTTGTGGGCAGGCACATCACAGCCACTGTGAAGGTCTTCTCACAATGTGCTCTTTTGCAAAGGTTCCGCTTTCAACATCATTTCCGATATCATCGCAGAAGCACAGGCAGCAATCGAGGCAACTGGCCATTGCTCTCTTGGTCCTTGATCATATTTAAAGGCATGTTCTGAAGAACAGCACTTGTTGGATCTTCCTGCAGCAAACGGAGAACGAGAGGACCATCTGAAATGTAAGACACGGGGGACAGCTGCGATGTTAAGAAAGAAAGAGACTAGGGTCGAGAGACATGGAGCAAGGGAGGCATTGGGGTTGAGGTGTAGAGATTCCAGGCGACTTCCATATGGAACAGACGAGATGACATGTCACGTGCTCCAAGCTTTTGTCGCCGTGGAAGCCTTTCAATCTGCAAACACAATTGATGCCATCCTTTCAGGCTTATTTGGGCTCACCCATGGACGTGCACAAAACATCTAGAGCATTCCAGAGCAATTCCAGTTGGCCGCCAGGAAGATGGAATTCCTTGGGAGCAGGTCGGGCCGTTCTTCTTGGGGCATGGAGCTTAGGTTCTCGGGATCTCCTGTCCCAGATTGCATCGTGTGCAGGCAGGCTGTGCTCAGCTCTTTGTTTTTCACTCCAGGGTCGTGCTTTTGGCGAACGTTGCTCAATTTGCTTGGGCCGCAGACTCCTGGGCTCACTTCAAGCTCTAGTAAGTTTCCCTCAAAGAAAAAACTAGGAACAAAATCATTAGTGCTTCTTCAAGGAAGCTTTTCTCGCCCTCAGGCGGGGGGAGCTTCCTCGAAAAGCGTGAGCTATCCCGCGTCCTATCTAGAAGCTAACTTAGCCTAGTAGCTTACCTCCTTACTTATTATGCGCCAGCATAAACCCCAGACAACAGCAAAAAGACTTCTAGAGCAGTACTCTGCAGCCCCCTCCAGCGGCGCCAGCACCCAGGCGGTACCCTCGGCCAGTACCCTGCAGCGGCACCAACACCCAAGTTCCAAAGCGCACACGGCTAGGCACTTTGCAGCGCACTCCAGCGGGGCAAAGACATGTCACAGCAGTACCCGTGAGCTCCAAAACGCGCGCAGCAACACCAGCAACCAATCTCCAAAGTGCACACAGCAGCGGCACCCTGCAGCGGCTCCAGCACCCAAGCGCACACAGCAGCGGCTCCAGCCCCCAAGCGCACACAGCAGTGGAACCCTGCAGCGGCACCAGCACCCAAGCTTCCAAGGGCACACAGCACCAAGCTCCCAAGCGCACACAGCAGCGGCACGAGCACCCAAGCTCGAAAACGCACACACGCAGCTCTTCCTACACTTGCAGTAAGAACCCCAATAGCTCACGTTATCTTGTGAAGTTACGCCAGCAAAGACCCCAGACCCCAGATAGCAAAATGATTTCTGCGGGGCAGCACCTTGCAGCCGCAAGCCGCAGCGGCGTGCACTCTGCTCAGCGACAAACAGCAGCGGCGCCGTGCAGCGGCACCAGCACCCAAGCTCACAAGCGAAGACAGCAGCGGCACCCTCCAGCGGCACAGCACCCAGGCTTGAAAGCGCACACACGCAGGTATTATGTATGTATGTATGTATATATATATATACTTACTTCTTTATTTATCTATTTATTTACTATTGGTGGGGAAATGTGAGGCAGACTACGGCAGACTATTTGCCCACATGCCTGGCATATCCTTTGGCCCCTGAAGTCTATGAGTCTCCCAGGTATATCCTTTGATGGAGGAAGCGATGGAGGCACGTTCGTCTCCGTTCAAACCGGTTCACAGGCTGTGCACATGCTCACAGCTTTACAGGAGGATGATTATGATCGACTCCCAATGCCAAGCGACCTGCCAAGCGGCCAAAGGAGAGTTTGGGCCATGGACTTGCCCAATAAGAATCTAGATCTTATGGCAACCTCTTCAACGCTGTTTCTGAAAGTCTCTTCTGAAATCATGGCTTCGCTTTGTCGGCAAAGCCAGCTGAGGCACCTCGAATAGTCCAAGAGGAGGTTGATTTGAAGCTACCTCCGAAACCAATGTCTCAGATAGTGGCTGAAGACGCAGCAAAGAAGGTTGCAAAGAAGCCAGACCAGGTGGGGACAAAGTGTTTGCTTCTAGGTTTCTAGGTCTTTGCCCGCACTGAGTGCAGGATTACAAGGATGAGAAGAGTGAACGGTCTGCCTGAGCGTCCAGTTCATGATTGCTGGAAGTGTTCAACCAAATAAACTCTTGCGGGTTTGACGAACGTTGAGCTTAATGTATATACTTGCTCACGCGGAGTGCTGTTTATCGATTAGTGAATCAGATGCCAGACTAACTAGCCACAGAAAAGACGGATGCGTGCAGAGGCAGCAGCGGTTTCCCATTAGAGCACTGTCGAAGCCACCATACTTGCGAATGCCATTGATTTGGAATGAGCATTGGGAACGATCCAATGTGTTTCCTAAGCGGCTATTGCAGTAACTAGTTTTGGCCATAGCCCAAAGGCTCAAGGCTTTGAAAAGAGTTTTTGCTGAGAGACAACACCCTCAGATTCTTTCAAAAAGGACAGCTATAGAGTCTAGAGGCTGTTGGTGTTGAGCAAACTGGCATTTTGGGGACAAATGCTGCGCAGCAGCATGTTGGGTCCATCAAGGGTTCTCAACAAGGCAGCACAACAAAGGATGTCGAGGGTGCATGAGGCACTGTATCCCAACCTCCTTCAGCATACTAAAACGACAGCTCCACCTGTAAAGCTGTGACGAGTAGAGGTGGCCTCGTATGTTATGGCCAAGCTGCTTTGTTTGCTAGGTGTGGTTCGAAGTTTACCCTGGCAAAGCTGAAATTTGGATTCCGCGTGCAGGAACTGTAGCCTTGGCACAGGACTACTCAACATGGAAAGATTGTTGGGACCGGAGAAATTGCGAAACTGTCCAGAGTTTTTGAAAAGACCGTAGGGGGCAGCTTCGACGTTGAGGCCAATCGGAGATCTACAGATTCATTCCGTGCTGCAATCGCTTGCTTGGATCCCAGCATGCTTTGTGTGGAGCATGTCATTAAACTCTGCCACTCAGGCGACTTGAAGCTCAAATAGCCTGTTTGGAGTGCCCCTTAATTGAAGCCGGCTCTTCTTTCTTGCAGAGCATAATTTGCCTTGAAACCCAATGAGACATTGCTTGATACAGGTACTCAAATTTTGGCTTTAATGAGCGCACTTGCCTGCCTTGGCTGGAGGATTGCGTTTCTTGTCAATGATGTTTCCTTCTAACTTCCAGTGAGGTGCCATGTTTGATTTGTTTCTTTTTGTTTTTATGTGCCTATGTTTGCGGCTTAGACTTGAGTCTCTTTGAACCGAACCGGTGATGCGTTGGAGGCCATCGAAACGCACTGCCTTTTGGTTTGTGGAGACTGTTGGGCCGAAGCCCCGGCGGTGACCGTGACCGTGACCGTCTGGACGCTGTGGCTTCGACGGAGCCCCCAGGAGCTTGGCAGACGGCTGCGACAAGAGTGCCAGTTCCAGCTGCAGGTGCGGAATGTGGGACAACGCATCAGAACACTCGCCCAATCTGAGCGACATGCTACGGTTTGTTTGATTTATGCAGGGTCCAAAATATAGAGAACTGAGACATAGTCCTGAATTCCAATGTCAATCCAAATCACTTTTCTGTTGTCCATGTTCGGCAAAGTCCGCGCAATTCATACCTGGGTGGATAATGGTGGATACAAATCTTCACCTGATATCATCTGATATCTTTGGATGGCGCGCCGCTGTTTTAGGCGTGGTAGTGAGTCCTAATCTCCCGGGGACATGTTGATCATGCTGGGCAAACACAGACTGAGAGATCATGCTTAGTTGCACCACGTCCGCCAGATCCTCAATGAGCCTGAAACCACAAGGCTCGCTGAGAAATGTTTCCACTTAGCCTGTTTGGTCAAGAGGAGCGGAATGTGCCTTTGCACTGCAGGATTTGGTGCAACGACACCCTCAACGATTTTGTAGCTTTGCGCTGCACACCTGCGTGTTTGGTCGATTGCTCAGCAGGTAAATTTTGACGGTGTTCTTTTCGTACTGGGGCAGATTCCCCTTTGCAAAGGTGAACGAGACCATGTGTGCCACACCCGCAGCAAAAGCCACAGCGGAAAAAAATTGCATGATTGTAGTCATGTCAATGTGGAGAGACCTTGCGTAAGATGAGCGTGGAAGTTTGCCCTCCAGGCAGACGCTTGCATGCACAAATGTGGGAACTACAACACATGCCAATGCCGAGGGCAGAAGCCTTATATATGCTCAGACCTGCAACCATAGGTCAAAACAAACGCAAGTCTCAGGACAAGCTATTATAGCTATGGCGCAATAGATCGTCCCAACAAGCTATTCAACATGCAACGCTGGATGTTCTTTGATATCGTGCATTGGATTGCATTGGTTCATACACGTTGGCCCAGCTGAGGTACAGAGGAAGCACGCTGGATCCAACATGCCATGGCTTCACATTCAGCGATGGCTCAGTGAACCCAAGGCAGATAGACATGCAAAAGAAACCAAGAATGGCAGAGCTCTTTTTGGGAGGCCGGATCTCTACTATGACTGCGCGTTAACCCCTCCAGACTGCAAACACACCAGCTATGGTGTGGAATGCAACACATACAGATATTGCCCTGCCAACAAGTGTTTGATTGATGATGCAGCGAACTTAGCCTTGGGTGCAGCAGTGCAGATACGTTTGGCAAAGCGGTGTTTCGCTCATTCGGACAGCCTTTCTGACAGGTTGACTGCTCTCCCAGACACCAGTGCGAGGCCTGGGTGCTTGGCTTGAGGAAAGGAACATATATATATATATATACAGAGGAAAAGAAACCCATATGCAGACAGCGCTTCGACGGATACGGATCTGGAAACAGCTCCAGTGCGTTGCTTTGCGAATCACCGGTCATTTTTGAAGGTACAAGATGTAAAAGGGCATGCTTTTTTCGGCTCACAGAGTTATCATTCTGATTGTGTTCAACATTGTTCTAGTTACTAGAAGGGGCCGTGATCAGATTCATGTTTGACAGGGCTTTGGAATCTCAACTTGGGACGAGCGACTTTGCGGCGTTGCGTTTGCATCAAGTTAGTGGTGTAATTTGCCCTGTTGCGTGAAAGATCTATGCATATCTCAGATTGGCTCAAAGCTCAGAGTCAGGGTCACTGGAGTTCCCCCTTGTGATCCCCAGTCAGTATAGCGAACAGATTGTCCTGGCCTCAATAGTCCCTCGAGTGTGTGTTGAAGTCCCTTCAAGCAACGTCACAACATGCTCATGATATGCCGCTCGTTTGGAACAACTGCAAACTCAAATCGAGGCTCATGCGTTGACTATGGAAGTAGAGAGGAGAATCGACCCTGAAGATGGCAAGGTGGGCCACACAACCTTGGGACCTTGTGATGAACATGAGCGCTTGCAGTTAGACGATCATTAGTGCACTTGGCTATGTTTGTCAAGGAGATTAGGATGCATGGCAAAAATTCGTGTACTGGCATCCCGATGTTTGTGTCAAAGCTCAAGGGGCAGGGTGTTTGTTGCTGGTCAGGCTCGGACTTTTGATGAGCTTTTGCAGCATTACAAGTCTGTGCGGATCTCTTTCTTTCTTCAGAGCAGGCAAAGAGACGCTGTCCTTTTGTCAGAAACGCTTGCACTCTGTGGAGATAAACCGAGGCCTACACGCATCAGGAGGTGCAAATCACAGCGTTTGAATCTTTAGCAGTTTTTTCCTGTGTCGCTCTTTCTGCCAGTTGCTCCAGTATTGGGACCGGTGTCAACAAGTGCGACCAGCACAGTGCAGTTGCTAGAGGCTTTGATGGCCTTACTACTAGGTTACTAGAGGCAGTGTTCTTACAGCCAGGGTTCTTCAAGGAGCCTTCTTCCATGCAGGTAAGAGAAGCTTCCTGAAGTTGAATTAGCAACTTCTCTTAGTAGCGTCCTTGCTCCTAGTAGCGATGCACCTTGTTACTAGTAGCTTCTTGTTCCTAGTAGTAAGGCCAGGAGCCCCTAGTAGTGTCCTTGCTACTACTATTACTAACAAACAGCTTCCTTAGACATTGCTCGCTACCATTGCCGAGGAGGTACCGACTGATCCCTTCCTGACTTCTCTTCAGCAGTCAGGGCCTTTGCCGAATGACCGTTCAAGAAAACGTGTGGGTCAGTGTGAGTTGTTTGAAAACTTGGATGCTCGAAACAGGCAAGATTTCAAGTTGAGACCTGATCATGAGCCTCCCACAGAGCCAGCTTCACAGGACGGGTGAAATGTGCATTTGAATGCATTTAGAGCATATCCGTTTGTGTAGCAAGGTGTATCCTGGTTGTGTTCACGGGGTCTGCGCTTCTTTTCCGCAGGTCAATCTTGGTCCAGTGAAGCTATCGGAAGATCCATTTCTCGCTGCGGGCTTCACCGGGCAGGCTCTCAATGGTTTGGAGAGTGATGCACCGATGCAAAAGCTGCGATACCATTCTTTCCCTCTCAAATCCTCTCAAAGAGGTTCGACCGCCCCGCATCGCTAGGCCAGGAATGCGACGAAGTACCCAAATGGTGCACAGCAATTTCAGCCAGAGGCATCCAACAATGCAGCAGTTGCGGAGCTTTGTTTGCACATGTTGCTATTCGACGCAGGCAAGCTATTATAAGGATACCCAGAATTGGCCGACAGCTCAAAAGACTGCAAGCCCAAACCATCAATGCCCAAAGAAAAGACATTGTTCCCCAGGTCCGAAACTGCCTCTGCTTGCTTGGGTCCTGGAGATGTGAACAGGCAGCCACGTGCGTTTAGATCTCAGGGGTGGCTGAGTGCGTAGGCCGTTTTGTTTCAAGCTTCAGGCAAGTGCTTTTTTGAGGCGTACGATATTGATCATGGTACCCATCCTACTCTTTCTTTGGGCAGGGGCCTTCCATGATGACTAAAACGTGTGAGATGGCAGTGTAGGTGCAAATTCTGGCACTGAGTTGATCATTGTTCAAGGAATTGGTCGTTTGGAGTCTCCTAGCCCACGTCACCAGAAACGGCTGCTGGTTGTTTGGCGCTCAATGCTAGTCGGCAGGTGTTAGTAAGATAGATTTATCAGATATCATAATTTATGGAGTTCTGCACCAAGGATCACAGTCACATTGCTGGTGGTCTCTGCAGCAGCTATTGGAATGTGGTACCAGGGCATGCGCAGTTTCCTTAGACCGGAAGTTGCGGAGAGGCTAGTGTTGCAGCCGCTTCAAACAAAATTGTCCCCAGCTTCTTGCAAGTCCAGAAAGTGTGTCCATGCCATGATAGCCGTCATACAGCATACATCAAAGCAGTCAATGCGTTGAATCTCAGGGTGGGGACCAGTGTCGTTGGTCTCCCTTGGCGTTTTGTGCATCATCGCCATCATTGGTGGAACTGCTCTTGGTCAGCGAGGCTAGGCGGCTAGGCGTGTGGTTGACATGGTTGACACTGTTTGCTACGATACATTCTTTGAGCCTCAGGCTGGGAACAATTCTGGCGGCAGTTCTTTTGGATGAATATCGGGTGTCGGGCTCGGAGATCATTTCTTTGATCGACAGACCATCGGTGTCCAAGTCTGGGGCTTCCAAGTCAGAGTTCTATCAACAAAAGTTGCGAGTGTCTCGCTCCCGTAGGCAGCAGCTTGTGCCGCCAAGTCCTTATATTGCTTTTTCACTACTATGATTTGCATGCGCATCATGCGCCTGTGCAAGATGTGTAAACAATGTTTGTTTTGTTGCTACTCCTGCACAGCAGGGCAAAGGCCTCTGTGAAACCTGTGCCAACGAAGCCAATACAGCACCTGCAAACTCAGGACACAGACTATGCTTAAGCATTGAATCATTTACGACGAGGGTTTCCATTGCTATTAGGTGCGAGGCCATCGCTATTAGGTTGGAAGCCATCGCTCTTGGGTTGGAGGGAATTGCTTAAACTTTAAACAGTCTTCGTTGTCCTTTTGTCGTCTTGGGTGCCTGGGTTCTCGCATGCCTTCCTGGACCCAAGAGACCAATGTCCTTTTGTGCCTGGATGCCTTTCTTACCCGGTGTATATTATTCCATGAGCAACAAACTGAAAACAGTGAGGTGAATATGGACCTGGTTACTAGGTTTGGAAGAATCGGAAGGAACCTTGAGAAGCAATCCCTTAAGGGTTTAGAAGCTAGTCAAGGCCACAGGCACCACAATGCTGCCGACACCCAGAACAATTGGACGTTTTGCACTAAAGGTGCAGTGCTTCCCATGGTGCCCTCTCCGCTGTGAGCATTCCTATGTGAGTACAGTCATTCAAATTGGAGTCTTTGTGCAAAAACGCTGGAACCGGTGCCTTGCTCTAAGAACTTTGGGTGGCACTGCTGCTGGTGCTCGCTCTGCCAGCACCTGAAGTGTTTATCAACATAGTCTTGAATAAGATCAGTGTGCTCTTTTCAAAGTCACAGAACTTCCATCCTGAGGATGCAGCAACATTGGTGTTTGGAACAGTTGCTTGGTCAACACGGAGTCACTTGTTAAATCGATGAAGCCCAACCCTGCCGCATGCCATTCAGGAAGCAGGCGGCCTGGACCATTCATCTGTCGATGCATTCCGCTCTGTTGGTTTCAAGGACAGAATCGCCACCTGCCATTCCCTCGCCGTCCTAGCACCTGATGCAAATCTCTACCTTTTCCTAGGACACCGACCTGTTCTGCGTTGCCCCGGTGCTGAGTCAGCCTTGTATGTTGACTTCTTGTATACATTTATATATATATATACTGTATATATATACACACATATCTGATATATATATAATATCTAATATGTCTATATAATATAATACAATATAGTATAATATAGTATAATGATATTATAGGATATAATATAACAAAACCACATAATATATATATACACATATAGTATATGATTATATATGTATATAGATGTTTGATCTCTGTCAGCACGCAAGTTCTGCCAGGTCCCGAGAGTGCCGGAATGGACTTCCCCAGGGTTAATTACTGGGCTGCACTCTGGCAGCAGAAAAGCCATGAAGCCATCGCGTCAACAGATGTCAGCCCATATCAACGCATCATGCTTGGATTTTTCAGGTGGGGATAAACTGCTGCTCGAAGTCTCATTCTTGGCATGTGCAGTTTCAGTGTGGCAGTGCTTTGGAAGTAATATGTTGGCTTCCGATGTGTGTGGAAATTGCAGGTCTGGAAATTTCTTTTGCGACCAGGTGTGGAACTCAATCAACTGGGGTCGGGTTCAGAGGCAATATATCAATTTAAACGATCAGCAACAACCCATAAAAAAAAAGAGATACTTCACTTCGAAAAATCCCCACCATGATATTTCTGGTTGTGTACTGTGGGTTGTGTACTGTAGATGGGTCTTTGTGGTTATGTGTTGTGGTTGTGTGCTGTGAATGTCTCTTTGCAGAAACACTGCCGTCCGGAGCTGGTGGTTGAGGTCCGGTGGGGAACACTCCCGGAGCTGTTGGTTGAGGTCCGGCGGGGAACACTGCCGTCCTACACTTGCGGTTGAGGTCCGGCAGGGAACACTGCCATCCGACACTCGCGGTTGAGGAGGAGGAGGTATAGGAGGAGGTAGGAGTAGGAGCAGCAGCAGCAATAGGAGTGGGGGGAGGAGGAGGAGAGGAGGAGGAGGAGGAGGAGGAAGAGGAAGAGGAGAAGAGAACAGCGAGGCAGCTGACATAAAGTCGAACAACTCTCACCTGACAGGTGGGAAAAACAGGCTTAGTATGAAAGTAGGTGAGTGAGCAAGCGCTTGCAGAGGACTTGTGCTCTTTGAGTCTGATGCTTGACATATCTCCGCACCAAGTCCAGAGACTCCAGCGCCTTGCAAGCTGCCTGAAGCTTGGGAGTGTCTTAGCGACGAGAGGTGGAACATGGTGGAACTCACTGGTCCTATTCAGGTAGTGCAGCTTGGAGGAGGCTACCCGTGTCCAAGCCAGGCTCTCAGCTCTTTGGCTACTTGCTTTACGCTCGGAAAGCAAGACAAGCAAGACATGAAGCTGCCCACACGATACACTTTAAAAGTGTGATCGGGGACCGAGTGCTGGGCTTGGGTTGCGTGGCACAAAATCAGTCAAAACAATGTAATGGAGAGGAGAAGTCCTCACAATGACCAATGCAAGGAGAAACCCACAACCGAGAAATCCAAATGGTTAGTGGAACAAACAGAACCGCACAAAGCATGACAGAGTGGGTGACTGAGTAAGTGTTCGGGCCCTTGCAACGTGATATGCAACGCCGAAACCGCTCAAAGGGTGACTGTGGCTTACAGCGGCTAAATACAACAAAATTCGTGCAATAAACGAAAAGAGCAGCACAACGCACAACGCAAGAACCCCAGATACTGGATATTACTGCTATGCAAAGCAACATGTTTTTTCCTCCAGTAACGGGAGGGAAGCTGGGTCTAAGGCTGCAATGTGGAGTCTTTCCAAAAGGCCATTGCCAAGGCCGAGGCTACTTATGGTCTTGCCTTAGCCTTACTATTGAAGCTCTGGGAAGGTAACGGGAAATTTTGGGATTGGGCCCGCGGCAGCGCACAAGTGCAAGGTGAGTGCTTCAGATGCTCTTATGGTTAGATGGGTGGCGAGTGCATCCAAAACCAAGCACCGAACACAGAGCTCAGTGGAGGTTTGCAACTGGCCTCACCGAAGCTTATACTTTGTCCAACCATTTGCTGAGGTTCCAAGGTGGTGTATTGGCCATTGCGTATTTGCTGATTTGCGTTGTCGTAGGCCACGTTGGTTGTACTGGTTTGCACTCGAGGGACACAGCTAGACATGGATGTGTTTGAGAGGCAGTGCAATGCTTTTCGTGCTTGGGTGGTTCTCTTGGTGCCCCAGTCCGTTTGAAGTGTCAAATGTTCATAAATGTTCTTCATTTGTCCTGTGTCCTATGTCCTATGTCAGCTTGGCAACAAGTGTCCAAAGGTACTATGGCATTGGCAAACGTGCACCTTCTGGGGGTGTCGGCCAGTCATACGGAACAGAGGACTTCGCAACTTCACACCCAGACATCATGAAAACTACCACCATGAACTACTACAACGGCAACGACTACTGCAACTACAAGTACCACTACCACTACGACTACTACTACTACTACTACTACTCCTGCTGCTGCTGCTGCTGCTACTGCTGCTGCTGCTACTGCTACTGCTACGACTATGTGCGACTACGACTGGGACTACCACTACTACTACTACTACTATTATTACTACTACTACTTACTACTTACTACGTACTACTTACTACTTACATCTACTTACTACGTACTACGTACTACTTACTACTTACTACTTACTACCGACTACCCACTACCCACTACCTACTACCTACTCCTCCTCCTCCTCCACGTCCTACTCCTATTGCCTACTGCTCCTGATCCTCCTACTACTACCACCGCCACCATGACCAGAACCACCACCACCACCACCACCGACTACTACTGCTAGGGCCACTTCCCAGTAGTCTTGAAACCCTTGAATGTTTTCCCGTCGACTGTTGATGCAGGACACACATGCACAAGAAAAGCGGCGACAGTGACCAGCGCAAATTGTTTTCTTAGGAGGGAAGGCTCTCCTTGGTACTGCTTCTGAAGTTGCAGACCTTATGGAGCCTCAAGGAATTCATGCTGTGGGCAGCCACTTTGGAATATCTCACTACGGATCGAAAACAGACCGGCCCATGCGGAGATGACGATGATGGTGATGAGGATGAGGATGATGATGATGATGATGATGATGATGATGTCGATGTCGATGTCGATGTCGATGTCGATGTCGATGTTTGTGTTGTTGCAATGCCATCGTAACAATGTTTGCAAGGCGCCGGGAACGTGTGATCCAATCACGGGATTGCCATGACCTCAGGGCAACAATCACGATTGGTTTACTTTAGATCACTTCGTTTCTAGAACAACAGAATAGCACAATTATATAAAGCTCTTGCATTTGTCCTCAGGTGCATGTACGAGAATCGCCTCGATGGTTACCCGTGTGACGATGGCATTTTCTACACACTCAATGACACATGCCAAGATGGCTTGTGCGTTGGCATCCCGAACTATTGCTTGGGGTGCGCCCTTTTGGCTAATGTTGGCCACAAATCCTCCAGTTTCTTGGGACACTGAGCATTTGTGAGCCCTCCAGAGAGGTACAACGTTTCTTGTATACCGCTAAGCACATGTTTGGTGGGTGGCCGATGCATGGACCCAAGAATTGACGAAGAGGACGTCAGAAAAGAAAGTGATGCTAGCTTCTTGCTCCTAGTAGCGATGCCAGGAGCCCCTAGTAGCGTCCTTGCTCCTAGTAGTAAGGTCAGCAGCCCCTAGTAGCTTCTTGTTCCTAATAGAAAAGAAAGTGGCGGTCGAAAGACAATCTTGGCAAAGGCAATCCTTCAACGGGACGTTGCACCTACGACAAACTACCGGATGAAAGCCCTTGTGACCTGGAGCACATGCAATGCAGCTTGAAATGTCTAAATCAACATCAATTACTCAATAAGACATCAGTACTCGTAAGTTCATGTCAGTTCTTGTTGCGACGGATTGGTACTCACCCAGGCGATGATGGGCGAGAATACACAGTTCAGGACCATTTGATGGACAAGTGGTTAAGTACAGTTTCCTGTTTTCATGCTGATCTTGCCTGTGTTCCCAATGGTGCTCTTCAACCGCGATGAGGACATGTGCCAGAACGGACTATGTGTAGGCCGGAAGTCATTTGCCTTCAAGCTCACAAAGTGAAAGGTGCAGCATCTTGGTAGGTCGACCGCAGGATCTTTGCCTAGATGCACCGCCGTGCGAGGCAGCAGCTACATTCTCACCGTGACCATGACACATGTCCGGTTGCATTTTTTTATGTTTTCTTTCCTGTTTCGCAGGCACCAAACTGGTGTTACGATCCAGGCTCAAAGCTTCTCTTTTCTGAGTGACATGTTTCTTTGCTGAAGGACTGAAAGGGTTCATGTTTTGGGCATGTTGACTTAATTCAGGAACCTGTGACCCACAGACTGGTACTTGCAGCCAAGCTGTGATCCTGGCAAGATTAACGGCACAATGGCCACCGGGTGGCCGCAGACCACCGCACCACCCTGTTCACATTTCGGATGCGAAGCCCTGCGCAGACCTTGGCTCCTGGCCACAGAACCTGCAACGATCAAGATGCAACGACCTACAACGATACGCTCCTCGCCAAAGTGTTTTCTTTGAGCTCGTAGAGTCATAGCTCAAGTCCCACCAGGTGCATTGAGGGTGTGTGTATGGGCATCTTGGATTCTGGCTATCAGCCGCTTCGGCGTTAGTTTGGAGTTCAAGCCACTGTGACGATAAGAATCAAGTAGCCAGGTATCAAACAATGGGTGGCGGGGAATGCAGCAATCTCAGATACCATCAGGATAGCCAAGTGAAGAGTTTCTTGTGATTTCAGAGACAGGTGTGGACCGGCAAAATAGACGAATGGCTCGCTACACAGGCGATGTGCAGGACCCATGTGACACGGGCAGGTACTGTCACAATTCGACTCGACGTGTTTGCTTGTAGGAACAAGCTGAGTGCGAACAGATTTGCACAGGCGCAAGACCTGGGTGTTTGCGAGTTGGTGGCAGATTGACAAAGACTGTAGGCAACTGTAGCACTTTGATTCTGCAATCCAACATGTGTATAACATAGTGCGTACAATCAGACTAGAGTTTTTCATGTGTAGACACCTTTGGACTAGATGATCTAGATGGATGTCTCTAGCAAATGTTGGCAGATGCAAACGCACTATTAGAGCAGATCTTGGTGTGTGGCCAACTCGCATCCAACAGATTTTTTTTGCATTTGTTTGCTCCTTCCTGACACATGCCACATACAAGTAAGTATGAGTAACCTGCAGGTTCATTTTTTGCATTGCACGAGTCCGTTTTCTGGCCTTCGTTGGTGAAAAGGTCTGACAAACGTTGGCCAAGCTCCACGAGCTGTGTTGCCAACCCTTCGCGTGGTGTGACAGGATGTATAGCCGACAACGCTTGCACCGAAGGTATGCTTCGTCTTGGAGAAACATGTTCTTGGTGACTTGGTGAAGTCGTTTGCCTTCTGGTGTTGCAGAAGGTCGGCTATGATTGCATCCGAGTGGCCCTGCGAGAGTGCTACCGCCTTGCAGACATCATGTGGCATGCTCCAAAGTTCCTGCATGGTGCTCTTGGCAGCGATGACATAATGCCCCATAAATCCTCATAGTGCCCCACTGCCTTGTGGGATCCAGTGGTGTCCATTGGTTGCTTGAGGACATTCTGCAAAAGGACCTTGTTTTGTTCCAGAGCTGCACCTTTGCTGCTGGCCTTCTGGAAAGGATCCTTGGAGTGGCGGAGGTGGTCCATGGTCAATGATCAATGCCTCAAGGAGGATTTCCTGTACATCATTGTCGACCTGCTGTTACGTTTCAAGGGCCTTGTGAGGTCTCTCATTCAGAGCTGTTTCCCTAGCAGCTGCAAGAGATAACCTGTATGTGTGTACATACACATTATGTACTGGTATATATATATATACTATATTATATATATATATATGTGTGTGTGTATTGTACATATAATATACTGTAATTCATGAAATATACATATACACATGGATCCCGCACTTCTGAACCTACCCCCTTCATGAAACAATCACCGGTATCGTGTTTCGTGCACTTTTGGGATGTTGTTTTGAGAGACTTGTTCAATCCTTTTGATCGTTGGCAAAATTGCCAAAAACGGGGTTGGTTCAGTATCTTGTCGGTGGGCAAGTTGGCAAATGTGGCACCAAGACACGCATTTGCATTGGCTGGCGTTGGAAGCTCACAGATTCAAGAGTCAAATAGGCCGCTCTTAAATAGATAGGTCTAGTATTTTTAGTTGCTTGCTTGTCGGCATCGCTCGGCATCGGCTGAAATGGGACCCTTTGACCTTTGTGCAGCTTCAGTTTGACCGACATCCACCGCTGGAACATGCCAGGCGATCCACAGTGCGCTGGCTATGCCTATAGTTTCCCACTGTTCCGACCTGAATGTTCATCGATGTTCTTTGTTGTTCATTTGTTTTCTTGGGGGATTGCCACGATTTCCCATTCCACAGCTGTTTGACTTCCATCCTGCAAGGTGTAGCATTTACGGAACCGTGCGAACCCATTTGCCTATGGAGCGGCCAACTTGGTCATTCCAGGCTCGATTCCTACAGGTTTCACACTGCGATTTGAAACATGCCAAGTGGTTGGAGGCTGGAACGGATCCTGTGGCTGTGGTGATCGAAGCGGCCCTGGACATGTCACCTGTGCCCCTTGCTTGCACATGAGGTACAATCAAAACTACCATCTAACATCCTGTTCGCATGTGTATCCTCTAGCTTGATTTCCAAGAACGCAACGTAGCTAAGGCAGCGGCGTTCTATTTGCCGGAAGAAGGGCGTGGTGGGTGACACCATCACATTTGATTCTGATATCCAGGTGGCCTTCAGTCCTAGCTGAGTGAGTGGGAGAAAAGATGGGTTTGCTCTTGAGGTTTCCGCTGATGAGTTCTTCTCTCCGGTCAGGACAGTGTATTAATTTTGTCTTGCAAGTTTTATGTTTTTTTGATTGACACACAAAGTCAGATGCATTCCAGGATTGGAATATTCTTCTTGATCATCTTCGGCTGCTTTTTTGCACTGCCTGGGTCCAAGTCCAATATCATTTGACAAAAGTGATTTCAATTAAACTGATTATATAGACAATTGAACTGCATGCATGAAGCAGCCTTGTTCATGTTGTTGTCAACATTTGTGCTTGAAATGGAAAGGCGAAGAGTGTCAGGAGAAAGATATATGATAATGTTGCTACGAACCGTGTTTTTTTGTCGAATCTATTGTTTGGTGATGTTTGGTGTGGATGTTCATCTGACAGCCATTCTGTCAGGCCTTTGACTGATTACATTTCTCGTCTGCTGAAGTGCAGGCGAGTGCAACAGTTGCCTAAAGATAAAGACATGCTGTTAGACAGTCAGGGCACATGTGGCTTTCGCTTGCAGGAAAGACCCACTTGAAGAGCTTGCTGGACAGGTCAGCATTTTCTAACGGATTTCTGTAAGCCTTGACATTCTGCAAACAGGAGCCTCGTGTACCTGCCAGGTAGCACAGGATCCGGCATATGATGATGATGAAGCTGATATTCAGTGGTTTGGGTCTAAGATCATGTCCGATATGAAGCTTCCGAAAGCCAGTATGCCCCACCCCACCTTGAATACTTTTTGTTGAAAGCATTTGCTGAATCGTTAACTGCCAAAATTCAGGAATGAAGGTGGAGATTCCCAAGTGGAGTTGAACCAGGATTCATTGGAATTATTTGATTTACTTATCAAATTACAGGGACTGGTAATTGGTGATGCTTCAATGCTTGATGGGCAGTCGCGAGAAGGAGACTGCAGACCTGCGAGAACTTGCTGAACATGCGGAGGCATCATTGGATTGGTTGACTAATTCGAAACTTATACACATTTAGATGCAGAAAGGTGCGGATGCTGTTGCTTTTTGCACCAACATTGCTTGGTAGGCTGATGCGTTTCCTCCAGATAGTGGGGATTTACCAGATCCGCGTGTGCCTCAATTCTTCAAAAGCCTGCCAATGATCTACTGTACATTCCTACATTTGGCCTTTTGCCTATGTACATTCCGGGGTTTTCAAGAGGCCTGCTGACTCACCGCCAAATCCTGAAGCTGTGGCAGATGGCAAGACTTGATGGGATTTGAAAGGACAGCAAAAGCATGTGGAAGAGCTTGAGCCTGGTTGTAAGTAGCCTGAATTGATCGTGAGCATAGTGGTCTTTTTTGCAGGCTTGGGCTGTGAAACAGCACTAGGAAGCAAAATGTACAAAGGACACACACAAGAGTTCCAAGAGTCTTGAAGGATGGTCACTGCCATTCTGGCTATCCGCACAAAGTGCCGGCGCCAAAATTGTACATCGTCATTCTTAGATCGTTCGAATTCTGACCAGAGCTGCCAAAAGTTGGGAAAGTGTGGTGCACTGATCCATGAGAACACCAAAAGAGCTGAATATACAGTCATTGTATGTTATTGTGATTCTTAGTGAAGTCCACAGACTGCCCACAACTCTCAATCGGGATCATCAATCCTCCGTTCTTGCTCCTTTATGTCTTGCTGTTTTCAGCTCAACATGCTGCGAGCCTATGATGCTGCTAGAGACATGTACCAAGGGCACCACGTTATGCTTTGTCCAACTTTGTAGAAGAAGTGCATCAAACAACAGCTGAACAGTTCCAGCACAAGAAGCTACTAGGAGCAAAGGGCATCGCTACTAGGAGCAAGGACGCTACTAGTAGCTCCTGGCCTTACTGCTAGGAACAAGAAGCTACTAGGGGCTCCTGGCCTTACTCCTAGGAGCAAGGACGCTACTAGGGGCTCCTGGCCGTACTACTAGCAACAAGAGGATGCTACTAGTAACTTTGCTTGCCTTGAAGGCATGAAATAGTCAAAGGGAGGCTTCACAATGCCTGATCCATTCAGCGCCACAAGGCACTTTCGTTGCTTTGTGGGCATCAGGTTTCTTTCAGTGACCAGCAGATGTCAGGTGCGCTCACATTGCTGTAGTTGGTGCTGGATGGTGGTCACAAGGTTGGCACCTTCCTCACCTCAGCCGAAACTATCGTCCTGTCCACAGTTGTGAGGTGTTATCCTTAAGACCTTCGGTTATTCACATAAATGCAAGCCCATTCGTCATGACTTCCTAAGATGCACAAATCACCGCTATCGTGGAGCCCTGTGAAGCTCCACGCAGTGTCTCAGCACATTCATGTTGCCATTGTTGCAGATGTCAAATTAGAGGTGTCACACTTGTTCTGCGTCATTCAGCAACAGATAAGGCACCTTGAATCCAGACTTGAAGACCACAGAGGAGCTGCAAAAGCTCTATGCTGTACCAGTATTCAAAACATTTGAGTCTTGTCATCTTGTCTTATCTTGTTTGCCTCCTTGAGACAGATATGGCCTTTGCATGCTCTTGCCGTTTCACTTTGCTCAACCCTTTCCTGCAGCCGGGAAATGCAAAACTGCCACAGACTGCAAGCTGCTTACTCGAAGTTGCTCATATGACCAAAAGACTGCAAGGCGCGTGTGAAATCTTCTTCCCTGGCAAAGTGGAAGCACGACAATTGTCCAGAGCAAGAAGTTGAAGTGCAGTGGATGCCCCCCTGTTTAATGCATGGCTGAGCTCTTTGAATGGCTTCTTGACGTGATGCTGATGCTGGGGCTCCTGATGTATGGTTTTGGCCTGCTGGGCCAGTTTTCCAAAGTGCCAGTTACTGTATCAAAAAGTCTCCACAACTCCGAGGAAAAAGAGCAACACACGCACAAAAGCAGACTGAAAGAAAATGATGAAGCTGAACGAAGCTAAACTAAAAGAAAAGCTTAACATAAGCTCCGAGACCCAGAAAGCAGGCCACAGGAGCAAGGTTTGTGACGAAGGATACAAAGTTTGACATGTACTCGCAACAGAACATGCAGCAAGCACATCAAGAGTTGCGAACAAACACTTTAAAGTTAAAGCCAAGCTTCAGGACTATCATTGCAAACCTGAGTGATGTATAGTAGCATGTCCAACTTAGCAGATCAAACTTCAACAGCCTTCGGACCTTTGCAGCAGTTGAATAGGCCAACATTGATTCACACCCAGTAGCTTCTAACTGACAAATTAGGTGTTTCTTCTGCAGAGAATGTAGAAGCCATAGTATGTCGTGATGTTATGATACATGCTGTTCAACTTTGAGTAAGACTGCCGAAATTAAGGATGAATTTCTTGCTTCACCGGAAGCAGAGCAAACTGACGGCGTGATCATTGCGACCACTCATTCCGCTCACTATGAGGTTGGAATGAAGGCTATAGGCCGCTTTCACGTACTGATGGAGAAGCCAATGACTACAGATCTGGCAGAAGCAGACTGGCTTGCTCAAGCTGCATCAAAGAGTGACCACATATTCATGCTGAACAACACTGCAAATTTCAGAGACTCCACTGAGAAAGTGCACAATATGGTCAAAAGTCCGTGCCTCAAGCCTGTTGGCATGTTGGGAATGGCGCTTGGTTCAGACTCAAAGTCTTGCCGACAAAGGCAAGATCGGGCAGGTGAGAAGCGTCAATTGTTTCTTGGATAATACTAGAAATCTGTACTGTACGAAAGAAAAAACCGTTCAGTTTCGATTGGTTGGACAGAAGCTCAGCGAAAGTAGCACAAGCTTGGAATTAATTTTGAGGTTACATGGCAGCCGCACTGCTTTGGCTTTTTGAAGATCCAGAAAATGTGGGATGGATAAAGCCAACAGGTTCAATGCAAGGCACGATGTGACTGTGTTCTCATGAAGGTCATGGCAGCTGCAGTTTTTGCCGTTTGTTGTGTCTAGGAAATGGCTTCGGATTGGGACAAATGTCCCATGCACTTGCGTGGTTGTACTTTGTGACCGATTTGGAGCCAGAGCGTTTTGTCCAAAAAGTGTTGCGGAGAGTTTGCTGTCCTCTTGTTCGTGGTAGTAAGGCCAGGAGCGCTAGAAGTAGAAATGCCCTTTGTTCCTAGTAGCGATCTCCTAGTAGCTTTAGCGGAGCCTGCGACCAGAAATCCAGGAAGGTGTGCTGCAGCATGTTGCACTCCGAAAAGACCGGCGCTGATATTACTGACATCGCCATTGTCCACTGTGCTGGCAATGCGTCTTTTCGGCATTTTCCGGTGTTGTGCTGCAACTGTGGTTTTCTATCATTGCTTGTGTGATCTTGTGCGATCTTGTGCGCGTGTTTGTGCAATTCTCCGACCTGTGTGGCTGATCGTTGTCAGGCAATCATGAGCATTCATGGAACAGCTTCGATGCCCTTCAAGCAGCTTGGCTATTGACCTTCAAGCAGCTTTGTTCAAAGCATGTCAGAGTCTAAGTGTCGATAGCCAAGGTCTTATTTTGAGTCGACAAAACATATTCACATGAAGATCTTCGGATCCGGTGGTGTTCTCTCCTATGGCGGAGAGGACGTCAGTCTTGGCACTGACACGCCTATGGGCATCCGCCTTGACACGGAATTTCAGTGCCAGGACCAGCATCCTGAATCCGGGGGATTGCGTTTGGAGCTTTTTGATGGGACAGACCAACACCTGCCAGGCCTGATAATGCAGTATCATCAGTATCTAATTTGATGTCATAAACAAATTGACCGTATTCAGAGTTATGTGCAGGCTTTTACTTTGAGAATTATCAAGCAGAAGGTGATGGACCAGAGTCCTTGCAAGTATTCCTCAGCGGCTGTCACTTGAATGTACAGTTTACAAAGAGACGTCAAGTCAATCTGAAACTGTGAGGTGTTGAGTCTTCAGAGAATGCACAGCAGTTCATGTATATTGTATGTATAAATTCAGAATTGACGACACTTGACATATGAAGAGTCTTGAAGAGCAAAGTCAAGATATGAAGGCACCGGCACAAAGATTCTGAACGCTGCAGATGCAATGATTGGAAGAAAGGCTACCTCAATGTCTTTCTTATGCCTTACCGTTACATCAGTGCTTTGACTAGTCAATTTTGAAGAGTTTACATAAGTTTAAGTCTTGAGTGTCCAGGTGGTTGCGACGCTTGATGCCATGTACAAAAGTGCCAAGACTGGACAATTTGAAGTTATCAAACCATTTGAAACTGCCAATGAAATAGATTATACTATTTATTTGTTTGATTAATTGAATTCCTAAGAAATAAGTATACTATATACAATTTATAGTATATTATATATTACATTTTACATATATTTAGCTATTTTATATCAGCGTCGATTGCGTAATTTCATGCCGATTGCGCATTTCGTGCGTGCGTCTTTATCGGCGGGGCGTAATTGCAATTGGCTATTTAAAAAATTGCGTAGTATTTTTTTGGCGTTATATTTAGTTTGTGTTTTAAGGAGTTAATTTGAAAATAGAATGTGTGATTTTGAAGCAACTCAGACTACTTTATGACATGAAGTATATTTTATGAGTTTCCACCCGTGGCTGTTACAACCTAACGTTTGCTACTTGAGTGGCGGGATTCGATCGACGTAGCCAATGACGCTTGAAAAGTGTGCGACTTCGTGAGCTCATACAAATCCGGTCGTGAAATTTCGTTTGTTTACTTCCCTACTTGGCTCTTCTACCTCTGGTACCAGTGTGTAAGTGATATTGGTAGTGGAGTCGCCGATTATAGGCGGCTCCCTACCACTCCGCTCCTATATTATTGTCCCCTTCCACGCCTACTTCACCGACAACGGAAACTTCACCTACAACTTTGCTTCCCTCTTTTACGGTTAGGAGCAGTGCTCTCACCGGAGCTCTTTCTTGCTGACGAGCTCTACCTTGCTTGTTGTGGTTACAGAGCTCTACTCCCTTGAGTATGTCCTGAGAGAAGAAGGCCGAGCTAGATACCTTCTCGGTAAGAGATAGTTTCATCCCGTTATTTGATGGCTCCCTGACGGGATACCGCGAATGATGGAAGAGGATCTTGATTTACCACAAGAAAATGATTTCTTTTTTCAAAACGATGAGAAGCTATCTTGAACTTGCTGGGCAGTTTGTCCGGCGTTGCATGGAAGTTGTGTGAGGACTTCAACTTGGACAAGGCTGAAGACCCCGGTGCTTTAGATGAGAGTTGAAAACTCTTGATGGCTCGTTTTAATACGATGCTAATGTTGAGATGTCGGCCGACTTCGCCTCCTACTTCGAGCATTGGCTCGGAAACCGGGTCAGATGCTCCTGAATTTCGTCACGGATTACGACGACCGGTTGAAGTAGATCGAAAAGCATGGAGTGAAACTCCCAAGCCAGATCTAAGGCTGGTTCTTGTTGGCCAAAGCAGCTCTCACTCGTGAACAACGTCAGACGATCATGACTCAGGCCGCTTCCTTGGAACGGGCCAAGATTCAATAGGCAATGTTTGCCATCCTGGGCCAAGACTACAAGGAGGAGGACAGATGCCGCGTGACCGCTGGAACCGTGCATCCTTAGGAAAAGGCCGCTCCTACTTTGCAGGTGACGACGAGGAAGCGAATTATGAATGGAACGATTCTATCTACGAGGAGGATGACGCCTACTATATGGATGATGATGGAACCTATGATGACAATTGGTGGGAATCCTTTGACGCTGATGCCGTCTACTATTAAACTGGAGGTCGAAGGAGGATTCCCATGACAGGTGTTCTGCTTTAAAGGTGGATGTAAGGTCCAACAGATACTCTTTATGACGTCCAAGAATAGCGTCCTGCCAGTCATCATCGCCAAATTTGAGCTTCTGTCGGGCGAAGTTAATGGACATGTCAAGAGCCTTGATGATAGGTCTGCCAACCAACATGGGAGTTTCTCCTATCAGGACAAAGCCTTGTATTAGGCCGTGTTTGCCGTTCAGGAGTGGTCCGCATAGCGAGTCAGCGGTCCAGAGCCCATCAGGAACGAAGAGGCACTAGGATTAATCATGGCGCAGTCAGGTCGTTCATGACCGGCAGCATCTTCAAGCATAACTATGGAGGGCTTGTTAGTTAGGATAGCCATGCTTTCGATGGCCTAGCGTTTGCCAGTGGACGTAATGGCCGGCTTTGGAGAACTCGCTTGAGTGCATTGAGCGGTTTTGTGTGATGAAGAACCGCATCTCATACAAGCTGGAGCCAGGGCAAATCGTGCTCTTCCTTTTGGATCTGGTTGCTTGGATGGTGCACGATCGAAGCGATAGCTTGCCCTTATTCTTTCCTTTCTTCCCTTTTCCCACCCTTGAAGGGTTTTTGTTGAGAGGTCGTCGAATTCGAGGAGGGAGCTGAGTCCTGAAGTGCTACTGCAGGAAGGAATCCCCTGCTGAGCTTCAAGTCATTGAACCGCTTTGCGAGCATCGATATATGAGCCATATGCTTCCTCGAATTCTTCGATGTCAAAGTCCTGCTTAGGTTCAAATTTCTTACGGAAGAATACCTCTACCAAGTCGAGGAAATAAAAGACGCTGGTGTACGAAGAATCTAGACGGCCAAACACTGGAAGACATTAGTCATTCAGACTCAGTCAAGCCCAACTGAACTCCACTAACACTTATCGACCTGATCGTGAAAAAAAGAAGGAGCACCACGACCTCGAGTGCACTTTCCCCAAACAGTTTACTGTTGGGGTTCTATCTTAGAAAGAAAAGAGCTGGCCACACTCACTGGCCGCGCCCCTGAACTCTGTGGCCGGGCTCTGTGGCTGGCCCTTGTCCTCCTCTTGGCCGCGCCCCTGAACTCTGTCAACTCTGTGGCTGGGCTCTGTGGCTGGCCCTTGTCCTCCTCTTGGCCGCGCCCCTGAATTCTGTCAACTCTGTGGCTGGGCTCTGTGGCTGGCCCTTGTCCTCCTCTTGGCCGCGCCCCTGAACTCTGTGGCTGGGCCTTGTCCTCCATTTGGTCGCGCCCCTGAACTCTGTGGCTGGGCTTGTGGCTGGCCCTTGTCTTCCTCTTGTCCTCCTCCTCTGAACTTTGTCGACTTTGTGCCTGGGCTTTGTGGCTGGGCCTTGTCCTCCTCTTGTCCTAGGCCCTGTCTTCCTCTTGTTTTCTTGGCGCGGCGGGCTTTGTGTCTAGGCCTTGCCCTCCTGTTGTGCTTCTTTTGGTCGTGCTCCTGACTTCTGCGGGTCTGCGTGGGCTTTGTGGGTCGTAGGCAGAAATAGAGATAGATAGAGATAGAAACAGACAGAGACAGAAATAGAGATAGAGATAGAATTAGAGACAAAGATAGAGATAAAGATAGAGATAGAAAAAGGGAAAAAGAAAGACAGAAAGAAAGAAAGAAAACAAGATAGAAAGAACGAAAAAAAAATAGATAGAAAATGATAGAAAGAGAGAAATAGAAAGAGAAGTAAAGAGAGTAAAAATACGCTCTAGAAAGGCGCGTTTTGTAGAGAGAAAGAAAGAGAAATTTAAAGAAGAAAGAAAGAGAGTATCGCGCGCGCGTTCGCGCGCTACGGACGGCGCGCTTACGCTCTAGAAAGGCGCGCTTAGAGCGCATTGTATAGAGAGAAAGATAGAGAAGGAAATATTTTAAGAGAAAGAAAGAGAAAAACGGAAAGAAGGAAAAAGAGTAGGGCGAGCGCGCACTTTGCAAAGGAAAAATAGAGAAAGAGAATTTAAAGAGAAAGAAAAGGAAAGCGAATAGGGCGAGCTTGCGCGCGCGTTCGTACGCTCTGAAATGCGCGTTCTGCAGAACGAAAGAGAAATATTAAAAAAAAGGAATAGAGATAGAAGGAAAGAAAGCAGAGCGCGTGCGTATTTATATGCTGCGGACGGCGCGTTCGTGTGCTCCGAAATATGTTTTAGAAGGGCGCGCTTTGCAAAGAGAGAAACAGAAAAAGAAAAATTTAAAGAGAAGGAAAGAAAGCAAAGGCGTACTTTGCAGAGAGAAAGATAGAGAAAGAGAAACGTATAAAGAAAGAAAGAGAGAAAGAAAGAAAGAAAGCAGGGCGAGCGCGCGCTCGTGGGTTATGGACGGCGCGTTCGTACTCTAGGGCTAGCCAGAGGATAAAAGAAGCATAAAAGGAAGACACGATCTAGCCACAAACCCGGTTACAGAATTTAGGGATGCGACTATCAAACTTTACTTCGCTTCTTTTTACATAAATATGCACGTTCCGTTTAATATTTTAAAAAAAAAAATGTATAAGTATAGACCCCAAACAACTTCAAAATGATTCGTTTAAATTAATATTAATTAAAAATCGATTTTTTAATACGTCTTATTTTCACCCCAAAAGTAAATTATTTCATCAATGAATTTTTGTCGGCATTAATATCGTTATTTGTTCGGCCACACTCTTTTCTAGTAAGCCGGGATATAGAGATTAGCCACAGAATTCAGGGGCGCGGCCAAGACAAGGACAAAAGGAAGACAAAACCTGGACACAAAGCCCAGCCATAGAGTTTAGAGGCGCGGCCAAAACAAAGACAAGAGGAAGATAAGAAGGGGATAAGGCCCAATATAAAGGACAAAAAGAAAATAAGAACCCAATAAGCCGTCCATAGCACACGAGCACGCGCGCGCTCGCCCTACTCTCTCTCTCTCTCAGTATTTCTTTCTCTGTCTTTCTCTTTGGGCGTAAGTGCGCCCGTCTATAATAGACAAACGCGCGTTCGCCCTGCTGTTTTACTTTCATTGTTTATTTATTTCTTTCTTCGTTCTTTCCTTGCTTGCTTTCTTTCTATTTCTCTCTTTCTCTTTTTTTCTTGTCACGTATGACCGGATTTTGTCTTCCTTTTGTCTTCTTTTGCGTCCGAACAATTAGCGACGTCGATGCCGACAAAAATCATTGATAAAGTAGCTATCTTTTGGGGGGAAGGTAGGGCATATTAAGAAATCGTTTTTGACTAATATTGGTCCAAATGAATCGTTAATAACCGTTAATTATGTTGAAATTGTTTGGGGTTTATATAGGTATAATTTTATGGGAAGTGTATATTGGCCGTGTACGATTTTCCGAAGTTATTGAGGGCATCGGTATGATAACCAAAATTTTCGGTTTTGAAATAGGATGGAATTTCGCGTTTTAGTCCTACCCGTGCGCTTTCTTGAATATGATGGATCAAGACATGCCGGACGAAATCTATTTGTCTCCTAGTTATGGTCCCGGATGTAGAATATTTCTGCTAATTTAGAATAATATAAGGAGATTCTTTGAGGCTTTCGTGAATGATATTATCGCACTTACCTCCAATTCTATAAGAAGGTATACTTGAAGCAATTTTATTTTGGAAGGCATAACCACATCGAATAGCTTACTTCAACTCTCTCTTGGGACACTTCGGCATTGTAGTCCTTGCCCTGCTATCGCGCTCGCCATCATTAATGCTAATATGGCGCTGTCTGTATGGACGTTGATGAAACCTGGAAACCTGCTAAGAAGGATACTACTATCCTGACGATTAAGCGAGCAGTCGCTGAATCGATATCCCATTTGTCCCCGATGATTACGATCGCCTAGAGGGCTATATGAAAGGCCATGGAACTCTGGAAGACTACTAATCGGCCTTCTTATCGACATTGGCTACAGCCTTAGCTTGCTTAGAGAGGCTTTAGATTTGGGAGGATTCCTATATTATTCGTGAGTCCTCCTAATACCTGGACAAAATCGTTGAATTCTATGTCGAAGGAAAGCAAAATGCCCTTGGAATTGTGCAAAAGCTTCATAGGAATTTTAGATATTCTTTAGCTTAGGTATTGATCGATTTCCAATAATCAAGATAGGTTTTAAAAGATGTGATTAAGAAATATTTGGGTAGTTTATACCTTCGATATAAGAAGCTAAATTAAGCGTTCCTAATTATTGTTAATAAGATTGAGTATTTTAACTAAATAATTTAAATCGATGTTTTTGAATTAGCATTGTTAAGAAGAAGTGGCTAATCTTGGCTATATTGGATTGTGCTACAAAGTATTAAATCGCTTGCTAGGTATATTCCGAATAGATTATATTATATTCTTTGAGCGCTATTGGATTGCCTACTTCGGCTTTCTCGAGGAATTCATTATTGACGAAGGACGTATTTGATGAATATAGCATTAATTAATATTTGTTGATTTTTTTTTTTTAATGATGGATTTGGAGGCTATTACGGCTTAGCATTTTGTAGATAGACGTGTTTGACGCTTATAAGAATGAAAAAAAGGGGGGGATAGATCCCACCATTTTATAATAATATTAGTTTATTATAGAATGGCCATGTGATAATAAGTTATTCTGTAAGCAATTTGAATTATTTTGTAAGACCGTAACATTATTTTAAAGATTGCTAATATATATTTATTGTAAGGTTATTTAGTTGGAAAATTTTATTTCTTCTATGAATTTGTGATGAAAAATTATTTATTCCGGAGAATTATGGAGGGTCGATGGCTTTAATATACAGTTATGTAGGCTTATGCCGTTGTTTTGTTATTGGGTTCCATTAAATATTATATCTATCAGGTTGTATATACTCTCTTCGTTTAAACGGCCCCCGGCCTAGGGGCCATTTTAGTGGATCAAACCCATTATGTTTTCATTAGGGCCTACAGGTTCCGACGGAGCTCCCCAGGGGATTCCTAGGCTACTCAATTGGAAAGTTTGATCTCCTCCATGAACTTGTAATGAAAAATTATTTATCCCGGAGAAGTATGGGGGAACACTTTTTTGTAAAGTTGAAAGGCCGAATAGACTTGATTAATCTGTAATCAAACGAACTCACCTAGTAGAGAATAAGGATACAATAAATTCTACAAAATTATATCGTCTTTTATTATTCCCTGGGACGGCCCATCATTCTGTAGATTTTGTGCATTTTTCATATTTCTACATATTGACATATAGTGACCTCGAGCACTGCATTTTATAGATATTTCATGGTTTGTCGTATTTTTTTAATACCCCCCATTTTATAGATAGGTTCATTGTATAGAACAAAAAATGGTTTTTACTACAAAATGATTGCCTCGATCCCACGTTCTGAATTTCAACGGGGATATTCATTATAAGGTAGCTCCTGGTGAAGTCCATGAACGTTTCGATCAAGTTTTAAGGCGCTATATAGGAGTTAATTAAAGATTTTTGGCTTGACTAACGATGTTTTTATTGGCGAGATATTTAACAATATGAATTTTGTAAGATTCGTTGGCGTGGTCCGGCTAAAATCGTATCTATTGAGGAAAAAGATTGTAATTTATATATTTATTGGTTGATATATAAGATTTAATTGTTCGACCCGATTTTATTGTTATCGAAGGTGCGAATGGATGTGTTAGCTTTTTTAATGGCGTAGGCCGACGAATAGAATTAATCGTAGAAATAATGCGGCGTAATAAGCTAGGGACGAGGCTTCCGTATCTAAAATATTGTTTGAATTAATTCTAAAATTGAAATACGACTTCTGGATTGTCGTCGTAGATGAATGTAAATCTTGCCGAAAGTGCTTGACGAATTGATCGTTTTCCGGTTTTATTATAACGTTGTTCGGTAATGAAGATGTAACGGATGGATAGATTGGATAATTCTATGAAATACAAAAAATTCTTTAAATTTGTTTGGGAGCGTTTAAAATGCGAGTAAATGATGAATTTTGTAGTATATCTATCGTTTTCGATTTTTTTATGAAAGAAATTTAAGGATTTAATGGGACGAGGTAGGATTGCAAGGCATTGCATGGCGACAGATTGAACACAATGCCGACAAGCTCGCCGAGGATGCTGAAAATTTTTCCAGGTCTTACAGATTTTGGATATAGTCTTCAAACACGATGACCGTGTTAAAGTCCCTCGAGCTCTAGAGAATGTTTGAATATCGATTAATATTAAAATTAAAATTGAATCGATTTAATCGTATATAAATATATATTAATTTAATCTTAATAATATATTCTTTTTAATTGTTCGGTACCGATTTTTACATTTATATAAAATGGATCAATTTAAATCCGTCCATTCGATTGCATTTTCAATGTTTTCGTACTTAATTATAATAATATTCGGATTCGATTCCGATTTTACGGAATCTAATAATATTATCGTTCCATTATTCGGAATCAAATTATAAGCAATATTAAAGAATCTTTTATTAGCGGTCCGGAATATATTTATCTTTAATATAATTCTTATAACCAATAAACCCTTTATAATTATTTCTAAAATCGATTTTGCAATTAATAAACCTCTTTTAATAATAAGTTCGGAATTATAAATATCGATTTTATTTCTAATCAAAATTTCACCATAACAAACCTAATAACAACCTTTGCCCTTAAAAACCACAACAATCGATAATATTAGACCGGATATTATAATCGAAATTAATGCATTCTACCTCAATAAGAAAAAATAACGATAAAATCCTAATCGGTTTATCCGAAAATAAAAAAATAAAAATAATAAAATATTTTTTATTACGATAATAAATAAAATCAATCGAATTTCAAAAAATAAAATAACGAATTGCCGCCAAAAAATTCCATCAATATCATTTTATTCAATATAGTTATAAAATCAAACGTTCCTACGGACCAATCGAACAATATTTAACCTAACCACCGAAAAAAATCCATATGCGAAGAAAAACGACCGCAAATCCAAAATCCTCCTCAATTCCTCCTTCGTTCGTTCGCGAAATAAAATATCGCATTAAATCGACATCCATATACCGAAATCGAAATATAAATACAATTTTATTCCTAATATTACCCAAAATTTAAAAAATATCAATCAAAGCCGATTCGATTAATAACCATTTAAAATATAAACCAATCCAACAACAATCAAATATAATTTAATCATATCAATAATATCAATAAATATAAAATAAATTAAAAATATATATATATAATTTTATATTTATATAACATATTTATATATTTTATATTGTATAATTAATATATAGTAAAATATTATTAAAATTCATATATATATATATATATTTAATTATTTTAAATAATTCTAAAAATAGCATATTTAAAATATATATATATATTTCCAAAAATGCTAGAATATTATGTCAATCATTTTCGATTATATGTTTTAACCGTCTTTTTAGCATATCTTTTAATATTATATTTGATCTTTTTCTGTATATATATATGTTGTTTGTCTGATATTTTTTCTGATTTCTGGCATTCTTTCTTGCATGTCTTCTGACAATATTTCTGGGCCTCTTTCTGGCATATCGTTTAACAGTATTTCTGAAATTATGTGTGGCATATCTTCTGGCATTCTTTCTGGTTGGCATATCTTTTGACACTCTTTCTGGCATATCTTCTGACATCCATTCTGGCATTCTACCTGGCATATATCTGCGGGCACTCTTTCTGGCATTTCTTCTGACATTATTTCTGCCCCTCTTCCTGGTATATCTGTTTGACATTGCATATCTTCTGACATTATTTCTTACATTCTTCCTGTGACATTATGTCTTACATTCTTCCCGTTACATCTTCTGACTTTCTTTCTGGCATATCTTCTGACATTCTTTCTGGCATTCTTTCTGGCATTTCTTCTGACATTATTTCTGGCCCTCTTTCTGGCATATCTGTTTGACATTCTTTTTGGCATTCTTTCTGGCATATCTTCTGACATTCTTTCTGGCATATCTTTTGACATTCTTTCTTTCTGGCATTCTATCTGGCATATCTGCTGACACTCTTTCTGAGCCGTCGGGCGCTGGCGTTCGAGGTCCGGTGGGGAACACTGCTGTCGGATGCTAGTGGTTGAGGTCGGGAGGGGAACACTACCATCCAGAGCTGTTGAGGTCCGGCGGGGAACAAGGTCAAATGAAAGTGCAGAGCGCGCACTAAATGCAGAAAACATTTTGGTACACTTCTCGATTTGCTCAGGTGGTGGGACTCACCACCCCACCATGTAGCCTCGGTTGGTTAAGCGCCTTCCCTGGGCACTCGAGAAGCTAAAAGCTGCGGAGCAGCAAAACTAGATACATACTGTCCTTTTTTAGATAAACAAAAACTAAACAATCGAAAATAGAACTACATCTTATGTTCAATATACATGTAAGTTCTAAATAGTCTTGGTAACGTTGGAAAATTCACTTTATTTACAGCGTCTTTAAATAAGTGATTTTGCTATGGACCTAGATATGCTTGCATCAATCGATACAAAACATGGATTTGATGCGTTGAATCATTCATTTCCCAAGCATCCAACGCTTGGGTGGGATCGCGGAATGCATTTATGTGCCTATTCATTGGATTCTTGGCAACTGGCTGTGGTTGAGACAACAATAACAATTGCCTGTTCGATCTGGATTTTGATAAAGTCTTCTCCCTCTTCTCTGCATCCGTGTTGTCGATATCCTTGCATGGGTCACCCAAACCAAAAAGTCCTTTTGGCTTCACTGACCATGACACTGGACATGCTGCGGAAACGACGTGAGAAGTTGAAGCAGCTGCTGTCAAACAGTTCTGCTTCTCCTCCTGATTCACCTGGCACAAGAGTCCTCCCGTAGTTTGACAAGCTCACTTCAACCTTTCCGCCCACCTCTGCTGCGGCAATGTGACCAGTGAGAGGCAGACTTGGCAGCCCCATCTTTGACTGTAGAGAAACCTGCAGAATGCTGGCCCATCTGCAGTGGTGTTGCCAGCAGGAAATCGTAAGAAACCGTGGCCTCCAGCGGTGAGATCTTGAAGAGCTCAAATTGTCGCGTGACACCCTTAGCGGTTGTCTACAAATTCAACGATGTCTTTTGTCAAAGAGTCACAAGCCTGCAACAACTCACCCACAAGGAAGAAAGATAGCTCGGACCGATGGTCAGAGGTCAAGGACCTGCATTGCACCTGACGACAACTCTACAATACAAATGTCCAAAAGCCTTGTCAAAAGCTGACTTCAAAGGACAACCCAGCCAGGCAAGCGCTGCAAAGCCTCAAACAGCCACGACCAAAATATTAAGAAGTTAAGACTTCATTCATGACTTAAGTATGAGGCCATCGGCTTATGGAAGCAGTGTGCTTGACGTTTGGCATTCCATGCTACCTGCCCTGAACTTCACAAGACGTCCTAGGAACCCCCACAGGCCGAAAGATGGATGTGAGTGAAGAAGGTCATTCTCCGCATCCAGTGAAGCATCTGGTATCACGAGCAGGTCCTTCGTGCATTCATGCTTCCCACAGCCTGTTGCCTTCAGCTGTGAACCTTCCCTCAGAAACACAAGGAAGCTTTTAGGCAACTCAGCCCTGCCTCAGTTGTGCCAGGTAATAATCTCACCTCAGTCTTGGCACTGTGATCAACTTTGCGATCGTACACTGAGCACCAAATCAGTTGCAGTCAAAATAAGTGTGTTTTTCTTTTTCGTTCCCTTCAGCGCGGTAGGTTGTGAGAGATAGGCTAAATAGAGACAAAAGCAGCAGCATGACTGATTTTGCTCCTAGGCTTTTAGGAGCACAAGCCAAGGACTCTGCCGCAGCCGCTGGACCACACTTGCCATGAAAAGCCAATTGCACCTCCACCATTTGACAGTTTCGGTCGTAGGCCATGCTCGTGAAAACAAAGAAGTTGCATCATGACACGACTGAACCAAGCAACTCATGTTCGCTCCTACATCACAGATTACAATGGGCCGGATTATTTCTTTAGTTTGTCAGGCCAAAGGTTGGTAGAAGAATCATGAAGCCACATGCCTCTTCTGAGTCTCCTTCCCCGACCCACACTGCAAATCGCCCACGTCCAGCTGCCAGCACTCGGGCTCCTAAGCAATCATGGCTTCTTGTCGTTGCACGCAACACGGAGGAGGAGAAGCCTGGAGCTTCTGCATCCGCATCCAAAGTCAAAATGGGAACTCCTGCCATTGCAACATTCATCCAATTGTGCAAGAATTGTAATGTCCGGACATGTGAGCAGTGAAAAGGGCAGGCGGGTGCTCTATCATGCGCAGCGATGCTGTGGTTGGAATGGGAAATGGATTCTTAAGCATGTGCAAACTCATACTCACGTCGTGGAGGAAACTTCATTGAGGTGTGGAGTGTGGGACGGTTGTAGATGTAGGACGAGATTTGAACTCTTAGTGTGCACGGTGTGAGTGGTGTGGGCCCAAGCCCATCCAGCACCGCCACTCTGCGAAAACCAACCAGCTCGGAGTGCATGTGTTCGAAGCACAAATCGCTTTTACTTTTTTGGTGCCTTAAGCTTTCCAGGCTGTCCCGTGAAGACTATGTAATGAAGTCCAGTTGCTCTTTGAGGGCCTCGGAGCTACATAAACTTGAGGCCAGGGGGAGAGGTCGAAAGCTAGCCGAATCGCACCGGATGTACTAGTTACATAGTCGGCAAAGCATGTAGGGATGACATGTTTTGGGAGGAAGGTTGCTATGTACATACTTTGCGCTAAAGAATGTAAATGTGACATCGCTGACTGGGAAGGGTACATTGGAACAACCCGGGTGCACTCGTTGGCAGGCACGAAGATGCGTGATCGGCAAATCTGGGGGGTAAATTTACCCTCCGCTTTTGTATGCCTTGAGTCGGAAAGAGGGGTAAGCATTTCTGACATCATACGGACTGTACATACACTAGGGCGTCCGTAGTGTAGGAGAAGCACGGGTAAAAGGTATATGGAATAGAGTGTCTTGAGGAAATAGCCGGTGTATGGTTATTGCAAATCTGGGGGGTAAATTTACCCCCCGCTTATGTATGCCTTGCGCTGGAAAGAGGGGTAAGCATTTCTGGCATCACAAGGACTGTGCATACACTAGGGCGTCCGTAGTGTAGGATCTGGTAAAAGGTATAAGGAGTAGAGTGTCTTGAGGAAATAGTCGGCTTATGGTTATGGCAAATCTGGGGGGTAAATTTACACCCCGCTTATGTATGCCTTGAGCCGGAACGAGGGGTAAGCATCACAAGGACTGTGCATACACTAGGGCGTCCGTAGTGTAGGATAAGCACTGGTAAAAGGTATCAAGAATAGAGTGTCTTGAGGAAATAGCCGGTGTATGGTTATAGCAAGCCTGGGGGGTAAATTTACCACCCGCTTATGCATGCATTAGGTTAGAAATAGGGGTAAACAACTTGTAACGGTGAAGTACAAGTCCTATGCAGCAAGCAGCAGCCAGCAGCAGCAGCAGCAGCAGCCGCCTGCAGCCAGCAGCCAGCAGCAACCACCAACCAGCAGCCAGCCAGCAGCACCACGCAGCAGCAGCGCAGCATCAAGCCGCAGCAGCAGCAGCACCACCGGCAGCAAGCAGCAAGCAGCAGCAGCAAGCAGCAAGCAGCAAGCAGCAGTAGCAGCGGCGTCGTCAGCAACAGCAGCAGCAGCACCAAGCCGCAACAAGTAGCAAAGCAGCAGCTACAAAAGCGGCAACCAGCGGCAGCAGCAAACAGCAGCAGCAAGCAGCAGAGCGGCAGCAGCAGCAGCACCCTTTACACCAAGCCACCGTTACACCCAACCAACCACGTTCACACGTTCGACCAACCCCCTACACGGCGCAGCTGGGAGTTGAACCGCGGGGGGGGGGGGGTTAGCTTGATATATCAATCTTTAAGGCACGCAGCCCCTCCCACCACAACATTGCTAAAGCAAAGAAGAACTCAGCTAGCATGCTAGCTTTCGTGACTTGACTTGTGACTTGGCCTTTGCTCGGCTCTCTCTCCCTCTCCCTCTCTCTCTCCCTCTCTGATATTGTGTTGCTACTCTAATTGTGGTTTCCCTGTCCTTTGACAGCGGCGCCACTTATCTGAGTTTGTCTTGAACCATTTCGCATGGCTACCAACCCATATGATACCACTGAATGTTTCAGCAAAACGTCGCCGTTTACAACTCTTCTGGTGCGCTGAAACCTATCTACAATTTTTGGAACAGTGTGCTTGATACTGTGCCCTAAAGCTGTTGGCATTTTGATGTGCCTCTGTCAGAGCGATTCTGCCTGTCTGTTTCGGGATTCTCCTCTAGAAAGCGGTATGTAGTGCCTCTTAGAATGGTGCTCTACGTCTACAATCCTGCCTAGGTCGATAATCAACAGAAGCAAAAGGGTCGGCATTGATTTGTGCACTGCTCAAAGGATGTATTGAAAAGTAAAGCTGATATGTCAAACGGAGCCTAACTCCATGCGTCGCAGGATGGTGGCTTGGCTTAAACGACGTGATAGCTCCCAAACCTCACATTACGTCATTCCCGAACTCGCTTCATCTTGTCGCTATGGCTCCACACTCACAGCACCGAGCTGAGGCCGCAACTATGCCGTCCTGTCAACATACATGCCATGTGTTCCCTTTCCAAGCATTCATGGAGGAGAGAATGCTGCAATGCAGTCCTCACAGCCCACCAGAACATTCTTCCCACGCGCCAGGACGCTAGTAGCTGGGACTCCTTTCAGCAATGCCACAGCACTACAGCAACCATGAAGTGCTTTCTGTCGGTCCTGTTTCAAAGAAACCTGAAGGCGCAAAGTTGGTCAGGACGTCAAGTTGCTTCACCCACCCATCCTCATCGATGTTTGCTATCAATGTTTGCGCAAGAATTCAGCAACAAGGCTCAAGTTCGCCACATCAGAGGCAGTGAGCAAAATGTCTCCACCACTGCTGATGTCTCGAACCTAGGCTGCATGGTGCCGTCACAGCATTTGTCCGTGTCTGTTGGTTGTGTCTGAGAGGGGAACATTGGAGAAATGAACCTGAACATTCCGCACCTGGCAGATTCGCTTACCTAGCAGGCAGGAACTAGTTCCACTTCACTGCCAGTACCTCCTTCAAGATCTGCCGCCGCAAGTGCCTGTCTCAGTCTCAAGAGTTGACCAGCAAAATCCACTTTATACACGGTATATTCTTCAGCTGTGTCTCAGGATCCCACCAAACTCTGACTCGTCCAGCCTTTCGCATTGGAAAGGAAGATCGTTTTGCAAAAGGCCAACTGAGCTCTTTGCGTGGTCGCCCGCCGCGATTGTTTGCGAACCCAAACTTGGCAAGACCGAACCGCACGTCTTCGCACCCAGTACAGAAAATGTTGTGAAAAGTTCTTTGAGTCGAGTCTTGGCACATCTCAGGTCTGCACGCTAAAATGCATGTTGCCTAGTGACTCGACTTGCAATGACAAGAACAGAAGACATTTCCCGACCTCGCATTCGACCTGTGCAAGAGCTTGGCCATGAAAGTGAGAAGGAAAGACCTTCAGGAGCTTTGCACGACTGAAATAGGGGAGGAAGGCACATAGCGATGGCCTTCACCCTACTAGCAATGGCCTCCAAACATGTAGATAAGACAGCTGGATGTCGCAACATGTTGCTTCAAAAGATCTTCAAAAGGTGCTTCGCTGCTCCTCTCTTCACAGCTGAGGTTCAAACCCAAACGCTAGACTTGGAACAGAGAACTACATCACCCGTTTCTAGGGCAGAGATGCTGGTGACCGCCTGCACTCGTGGAAGCTCTCCGAAACTAGTGTACAATAGCCCAGCCTCTGGTAACAATGCCAGCCGTTGCAAACATAGCTCATGTGGCATGGCATCGCTCAAAATTGGAATGTACTACAGTTTCTTCTGCAAAGTGTGCCACAACCGCTCAAGCTAAACAGGCAATGATCTAGTAGACTGATTTGATGCAGCTAAAGGAGTTCAGCCTGGTAGCAAGCATGATGACTGAAGAAGGCTCGACTGTGAACTGCTTCCACCGAAAAAGCACCCAAGAATGAAAAGAATGCGCTGCTTTCTCGCTGAAGTCCTCACATGTCCCCTGTCTCCTGCCCATTTATCAGCCGCGGCACACCTCCGCTCAAAGCTCGGCACTCATCGCTAAGATTGCCATGTCTGATGTGGCACCATAGGGAGCTGGGACGGGAAACGTGATGAGGAAAAGTAGGGTCTATGTACAATATATAAGTAATGTAGACAATAATATGTAATAAAATCATAAAATCATACTAACAAGTTATATTCATATATATATATATAAGAGTTAAAGTAGCAACAGGAAGCTACATGCAACGAAGGGCTTGGATTCTTTAAGGAAACTGCAGCCTGGACCTATCGGCGGCGACGTGTTCGGCTCCCAGAATCTCGCCGCCTGAAAAGGATCCAAAATGAAAAAATAAGTAAAGATATTGTTTTAAAGTAGGATTAGGGAAAAAAAATGTATGTTTCCAAAAATGTCGATCCAAGACAACTTGCTCTGCGCCATCAAACCTTCTGCGCCGACGATCCCTTGAGCGTGATGAAGACCTAACAAAATAGCATTGATACAACTCGTCAAGAAGCAAATTTCCAAATGTAAAGACTGGGTAAGTGACTCTGAGTAGGACCTGGGCAGGTACAGAAGAACCATGCAGTAGCAACCCAAAAAGTCTGAGCTGCTTGCTCAGATCTCGAGTCACTCCTGCGGCGCCGAGAGCCTCGGAAGCAGGCGAACAGTTGAGAGCCAGCTTGAGAGCCAAAAATCTAGGAATCAAATGAATAGTACGAGGGCTTCTTCAACGAAGCTCCCCCTGGTACGTGTATATTTGCAGTAAAAAAAAGATATACACACATATATATATATATACACAAAATGTATTACAATTTGCCAAGGCCACGTGATCGCCGCCTTCTTCCCTGCGCAGCATATTCCTTGCACTTTCGACATATAGTCGGCCAACCCCCAATAGAACCCAGGAATGCGCTCCTCGGCGGCTTTCTTCGCCTCAGCTGTGCAAAAAGGCTGTTGGCGGCTATCGCTATTGGAAACAAATTAAAAGTCTGCTATTGGGGACTCTCTCCCTCTCTCTCTCTCTCTCGCGAAGATTCTACATAGATATAGATGTATGGCGCGCCTGCATAGACAATGACACTCTGACTTCTTGCCCTAGGATATCTTTCCCATCCTGACAATGGCATACAATCATCACTTGCATGACAAGGATGCAATGTAAAAGCTCACCATTGCATCGGCTGCATCTTCCGCATCACCTTAAGTTGCTGCGTAGTGCTGCGAACATCAATGCACAAGGCTGCCAAAGCCAAGCTTGCAGCGCTTTTCCCGAAACCGCACAAAGGCGAAGTTCCTATCTCTTGGTATGTACACCTTCGGCGCAAAAGCAAAGGCAATCAGCTTGAGGGGGAGCTGACAGCGTCCTAAGGTGGTTGCATCACCAATCTCACCAAACTTCTCGAACTTCTCTCGAAGCTCTTCCTTGGCCTTGACGGCGACATTCTGGAGTTAAATCTAAACGAAGTGTAAACCAAGAGCCGCGCCCTGATAAAGTTTTCTGAGGTGCACGTGATGTTGTCTATTTTGACACTGTGCCTGATTGGCGTGCTGTCAGCGTTCCATCTCTACTCGAGAGCCTTCAGCCTATGAGACTTCTGGATCAGTATTTGAGGGGAAAGGAACATAAAATGAGGATGCTGCACATTCAAACCGGTCATCCACCATGTTGCTTCCAAAGTGCAAATGGTTCACATCGGGGGCACGAGCCATGGCTGCCTAGCACCTGGAAATTGAAAACAATAAACTTTTGACATCCACAATCAGCGCCACGCAACGGCACAGATGTTGAACGACGGGTCACAACACCTTCTCATACCCAGCCTCCGTTGTGTTGGACGTGCCGGCACAGAGCCGATCTAGCATGAAGCAGGCCCCTCCGCACAAACCACGGCCACCGCAGTTCAAGAACGCTCTACAACTGCCAATTTCTTGAATCATCCAATCTCGCCTTTCATTCCAACCCCGCATCCCCTCCCACGCTCTGAGCGAAGTCAGGGAAAGTCAACACGAGACTCGAAATTAAGCTCGGGCCGTTGATAAATCAACTTCTGCAACGGTTCGAGCACGATTAGCATCGGAAATGTGGGCAGGGAAACCATGGCATGTGCATGCTTGTGTGTCCCACATCTGTGTATCCTAATATATCCTAATAATTCTCACCTGTCCACATTTCTTGAATTGTCTTGCATTGAATTGGCAAAGCGCACTGCAATGAAATGGTCTTCGGCCGATCAGCGCTGGCTCTTTTGCCTTGGTATCCTGAAGAACTCTTATCGTATAATCATAGCACTCTGAAGTCTTTTCGCGTTTTCAGCAAAGCTAGGAAAACTCATATTTGCCCAGCCTATTTCGACTCCACTTTTCCTAAGCTTACCAACAACAACTAGCACATATGGCATGTTGTTTTAGAAACTGGGCCACTCACTTGAGGTGTAGGGCAGTTGCCCACCTTGGAGGTAACTGTGAATCTCCTCCCTGCTGCAGGAAGGCTCCGAACTGCTTGCCTTTTCAAAACGTCTTTTCAGGTTTCTAAAGGGCCATGGCTGCTGCAGCAGCTTCGGCAGCCATGCGAGCCAACGAAGGCTTCGCCCTTTCAACGGATCTTGGGGATTGCAAACCGTAGGTGTGAAAAAAGTGAAGGAAAACCTAAACTCAAAGGATACTAAGCCCTCTGCCGACAATGCGCACCAACCTAAATCTTTCAATTCGGCGTGCTCTCACAGAAGCGTCAAGCCCAGCCCTGCATCTTGGGTCTTTTAGCCAAGTCAAGTTGTGCCTGTACAAAAGATATCTGCCCAAGACCCAGGCTGATGCGAAAGAGCGCGCAATGGTTCGCATCTTCGTAGCCTCTGCCCGCGCAGCCTCCAGAGCGCCCATCAAACCACGTCCTGTCACCTGGGACTGTTGGACTTCGGTTTTGCTCTTGTGAGGCACCTTCTCTTTCTCCTTCTTGTCCCTTTTCTCATGTTTCTCCTTCTCCTGCTTTGTGCTCGTCTTTGCTTCTTGGCGGGTGCGCTTGTTTGCAATGTCATAGATTGATGGAAGCGAAGGGCTGGCTAAACTCTCAGAAGCAATTGCTTCGTGCCATGTCCTTTTCTTGCCCGCTGCCTGCGCAAAAGGAGACACGTCACGTCTGAACACTCTGAAACGCGTCCAGCACTGGTCCAGTGCCCCCAGCTTCATGTGTGTCACACCTGCTTTACCTTCCCTTGCTTCCCCTTGCCCGTGGAGACTTGCCTGAGTTTTATAAAAATTCGAGTTCGCATGGGGAAATCAACAGCTGTAACAAGTGCATGTCCAATCAGAAAGTGGGCTCCACACTCCTCTGTACTAGGGCATTTAACTACCGCTGCAAGGGTTGGCACAGAAGACCTGCACGTAGAAGCTTCTTCCAGATTGGTGTCCACACAAAAGTACTGGTGTGGGCCAGAAACCGAGGTCTTTACCCAGACTTGCGCTCGTAGACGCACCTTTCATTTTTCCAGTGCTCCAACCTCGGCTCTTGACCCTCACAGGAACAGGGACCGTCGGCAACGAAACCTTTAAACCTTAGGGCGGGAGTAAAGTAGAGACGTGCTGTAGGCACCGGTTGGCACGGAGACATGCAAGCACTTCTTGGGGAAGCGTTGGACAGAAGCTTTCAGCAAAACCCCTCGCAGCAAAAAAGGCTGAGGTCCACTGCTGATGGAAAAGTAGAGGGGGAGCCTCCCTTGAACATGCACAAGGGCTTGCCCTCATCAACTGGTTCCACTCTTGAGGCAAGCACGGAGGTATGCGTTGCCGACAAGTTCTGTGAGATGAAGCTTCCTCCCACTGTTACGGACTGCGACCGACTTAATGACACCGGTCTGGCTCATCCGTCCCTCCTTTTTGTGCTCTTCTAACTTCTTGGCCTTGCGTCCTCACAGCATACTGGACTGGAGGACGACAGAGGACAAACGACTGCATGAATAGAAAGCGAGGAAAGAAAGAAAGTAAGGCCCCTTTAGTCGGGCCCCTTGGCCCTTACCTTCTTTGTTCCCCGTTTCCTTTAAGTTGACTCTGTGTGTGTGTGTGTGTCGTTTCTCGTGCTGTCCCTGGCTCTGGCGCTGGCAACGCGGCTTCACCTGAAGGAACATATGATTCTTCCTTCGCTCTAGGCTACCTATGGCTACCTTCCTAGATCTTCCTAGCTTTCATCCAATTCCTGTTGCCACGGCTCGGACTCAGCTTCCAGCGCCAAACAAACACTTGTTCATTATTGCTCATGGACCTCCATATAGATGTATATATATGATTATATATGTATCGTTTCACGCTACAGGGCAAGCCTCCGGCATTGGAAGATCCTGTCAGGGATCGGATTTGTGACTGCGTTGGTAAATGTGACACATTGACGTCTGGAATCAACAGAGGCAAGGTTAGGCTGATGAATAATGCAGGGAAGGGGAAATCAAGCGAGGCGGCTTCCTCTGCCACATCTGCTTCAACGGTGGACTGTGTGTCAAGGACCGTGTCCAAGCTTACCTTGCACTGCAGAACCACTCAACCTGCTCTTCAATAAATCGGCTTTAGCCCCACCTTAATGTCTTCACACATCTCAGCCTCTAAAGCACAGCGCAGCACTTGACTTGTGTGCACATTACACTGAGAAGCCTCGCCTTGTCTCGTGTGCCATTGCTATCAGAATCTTGAGCTTCTGATGGTTCAAGCTCAGTTGACTGTGTGTCCAACACCGTCTCTAAACTGTCCTCTGAAGCCAGGTTGGCACAAGAACTAGCAATCCAATGAGCAACTTGTCCTTGAAGCCACCGTCGACTTCAGCTCCAAACATCACATCAGTCTGCCACACACCATGTTGTCTCATGTCCAGGTGACGGAGGAACAGCATAACGGTCGACAGCGGCCTTCTCCGCAACAGTTGGGAGGTTGGCATCAGCAGCGCCAGCTTTGTCGCTCATGATGTCTGCACCATGTTCCTGCCCAAGTGGATGCATCACATAGTGCAAAGAATGGCAACTGAGGCCAAGCAGTACACAAACCAGTTTTACTTCAATGACACCTTTCCAAGCTGAAGTGAATCGTTTCAAGTTCTGGGGCATCAAGCGATGTACACAACTACGTTACTGAGAGCTGCAGGCACCGAAGGCTCGAAGCCACCCCAAGATGTAGGTGGCAAAAGGGTCATCTTGCCCTGAGGATCCATTTGGCTGTCTTGGCGAGACGGAAGAGAAGCAAGAGGGGCCTCAATGCAAGAAGGAAGATGGAGAAGAGAATGCAGCGACAGCGCTACAAGTCAAGAGATTGTCTGGCAGCATCTGGCAACAAAATCTGAAACTACATCCTTATGTACTGCGTTTGTTGCCTTCATGTCGCCTTGCTGAAAGCCTTCGATTGTGCTGAGGCTCAGACAAGGCCAGCAATTTCTCGCAGCGCACTTGCTGCTGCTGCATTAGGACCTTGCTTCCGGGACCACAGACAAGAGTAAACAAAGCAAAAGCCATGAAATGCCAGACTGCCAGGAGTGGGCTGAGTCGAAGGTGGTGGTTTTTGTGTGTAAGGCCGTGGGAGGGTTCACAGTATTACGCAAATCTGGCTAAACAGCTCACACGAAGCGCGAATAATGTGTCGTTTTTCCCGAGTGTGTAGAAAAGGATCAAGTTTATCTCTGGGGTTCGCGTGACGTGGGTTTCGTAGCCGCAACCGTCCGCAACCACCCGCATGTGATCCATAAGGCCTGCCGTTTGTAGGAGGTTTTGCACGGAAGCCTGAAATGTATTGAAATGTGTCATTCGTCTTGAAGTGTGGAAAACTATTTTTGCTGCGCAGGTGCAGCGCACGCTGCGCTATTGGGATTGGAATTCGCAGGGTGGTCGTTCGGAGGTGTTGAGTGTCGCTGCTCCATTGGGATTCGCTTTGAGGGCCTTGCCTCGAAGCTGTGTTGTCCTGACAAGTCTCAGCCAAAATTGCAAGTTTGGTTGGTGCGAAGTCTGCTCGGGAAGTGTCGAAACCACTCCAACCGCGTGACATGGAAAACGGGAAGATGTGACGTAGTACCTTTTCGTGGCAGGCGCAGCACTTTGTGCTTGGAGGTGTGGAAGTTGAAATTTCGGTGGCAGGCACAGGGAATCCCGCTGCACCTGCGGATTGGCGTGCCAACGGCTGCTTACAACAACAGTGTCCTACAAGAGCGTCTGCATCAAGAGTGTCACACAAGTGTCCCACAAGAGTGCCCTACAAGAGTGCCCCACTAGAGTATCCCACAAGAGTGTCTCACAAAAGTGCCCCACAAGAGTGTCCCACAAGACTGTGCCACAAGAGTGCCCCCACAAGAGTGTAAAGTGTCCCACAAGAGTGTCAAACAATGTTTGGCCGTTTGTTTTCGAGTGCGTGTGTGCATTCGGGGGTTCGGGGGTTCCATCTTGTTTTTTGACGGGTGCATGTATATAACAATTTGAGCTGTGTGGAGCAGGAGCAAGCTCTTCTAAGCCCGACGCTCGCCCCCTGAGCCTGAAAACGTTCAAAAACTTCTCGGACATGTTTTAAAGCTGCTTGCCTGGAGACGTGCGCCTCCAGCATCCCAACGGGAAAATACACAAAGGAAAGAGAAGTGTATCTCACCAGTCGGTTTCCTTCTTTGGCAAAAAGTCCGTGGACACGGCTTTTGTTTTCCAGCCTGTCACAAGTAACAAAGTTGACAGATTTGGATGTGTGAAACGGCTGAATGCAAGCTTCCATTTTCATGGGGGCATCATGCACACCTTTGACAGTTTTCATGTTGGCTGACTTTCTCTGGTGGCCTCATTGATCTGCTGGATGTGCAAACTTGACATCAACTGCAATCCTATCCTTGGCTCCAGGCTCCTGAGGCTCCTGCGGCTCTTGAGGTTCCTTTTGATGCCTGATTTTTGATCTGCTTTTGTTCGCCCCTGGACCTGACTCGCAAAGACCATCTATTGCACAATGTCAAGGTCACTACGGTCACTATTCCAGCTTTCAGCACCTGACTCAACACGACAAAACGTACGCCAAGGCAATTGGAATGACACAATCAGAATCATTTTGCCAAGGGCGCCTGAGGGGAGAGACTGATTGTACACACAACTCTCTGATAACATCACAATCAGAACTGGAAGCATTCCTCAATATCGGGCAAAGCTGCGCCATCCTTGACCGCTACTCCTTCAACTTCAAACCAAAGGGGACTCTTGCAAATCGGGGACACAGCTGTGGGAGATGTAGAAGTCAGGCTGCAATCTAAAGGCAGGGCCAAACGCTGATGCCACGTGTAGCGTTTCGGACCAATTTCCAGAATATGTGACGGATCGGGTAATGGACGGCTGCTGCCAGGAAGGCCATCTTTTGCAAAAGGCCGCTTTCGTATGTCTTTCCAAAAGGCAATCATGAATGTTATGCGCCTCGGGTGTCCTTCTTCTTCGCCAACTGGAGCTGTGCCACAGCCAGGAATAACCCCATGAAAGTACGTCCCATCATAGGCAGCCAAACGACCAAGATGCGGAGTAACCAACCAGCCTTTGCTGCCCAATTGCTTCTTGGATAGCATTTGATCCGTCACAAGTGTCGGTCCGCCGCATCCTGGCGGAGCATTGACAAAAATGATGCAGCTACAAATCGGATTTCTGACACCACCAACACCTTCATTGTCACTGTCATAGTGCATCTGATGGCCACAAGCATGCGGCCGCTTGTGGGCCCACCATTCCGCCACCTTTGCCTGTTCCAAATCAGGGAACAGGCTCTGCTTCTTCAGGAAATCCCACACCCTCTGAATTATCAGGTCAAGAGTGTTCCCTGCTTGGCCTTGAAGATCCTGCACATAACTGAAATACCCGGTTTCTCCACTTCCGATGATTTCGTTGTACCCATGCTCCTCCCAAAATGCAGATGATGGACAGAATAGATCCTGCAAGTGCTTCAAGAACTCCGAGGGGATGACACCATCAAACACACAGCCAGGAAACTGCGCTTGAGAACCCAGAGAGTCATGATGTTCCAATTCACCTGTACGTATTGCCCAGGGTGCCAAACACAACTTCCACCCACCAGCGATTAGTAAAGGTCGTGCTTCTTCCTCGCGCCCTTGCTGAAGCAGAAGAAAAATCAGTCTGGCCAGGACCGTTCTCTGGCCGGGAAGTGTGATGGATTTAGCAGGCAAAGCCGGGAGAGCATGTCGGAGAACCTGCTCACTGGCTCCATCTTCCCCTGACCCGCAAGTGGCCATAATGTGTAGTAGTTGGGAAAACCTCAAACTGCATTGAAGCAGCTGGGTAGGACCCAAAAGAAGTGCCTGCGAATAGGCTTCTCTTGCTTCTTCCCATCTTCCGGAGCGCTCATGACCTTCAGCCCGTTCCAATGCTGCATCTGCATCATCCCGCTGCCACATCTTTACAACCAAACGTTGCGCTTGTTTCTGCAAAGTACCTAACCGTTGACCGGTAATGTTGGAGAGTTGCCTCTTCAATCGTCCGGCCATCGGTTTTTCCAAACCAGCAAGAACTAATCTCTGCAAGAGACACTCCTCCCAATGTTCTAAGGGGCGTGCATTCGGTGGAGCTTCGCCAGCTTCACTGGCAAAAGCTTCACACACTTCAGACCATAAGTCCCGCCAACGATTTTCATAAGATTCCTCCATGAGCCTGATGAACAGCTGGACTAAGATAAGGAGTTTTCATGGAAGGGAGGTGGATGGTTTGGGGGATGTGTTTTCATGTTTTCCATGGGTCGTATCAATGACTAGCATGCCTGACCGGCAGCTTGCATGGCAAAAGGGATGATGGATGTATTGATGCACGCATGGATGCATTGCATTCAGTGAAGTTATGCTTCCCGCTTCAGGGTGCGGCACCTGTTCTGAGAAGGATCACTTGCATTTGGGTAGCTCTGCAGCACTCCAAGTCGAGTTCTGCGAAAGCGCATGTTGTGTAATAGCTTAGGAGCAGCGTCGTGAATAAGAATAACATATATATAGCAAGCAACCAAGCAAGCACGCAAGCACGCTGCCGCAAGCACGCAATACAACTCAACGCAAGCCAAGCCAAGCCAAGCCAAGCCGGGCAAGCAAGTGACCAAGCGACAAGCAACCAAGCGAACAAAGAAAGAAACAAAACAAAAACAAAACAAAAACAACACAAAGCAGGAACATGGACAAACAAACAAACAAACGAACCAACGAACCAACGAACCAACGAACCAACGAACCAACGAAC